CCAAACGTACCTGTATATAATATCCACCCGTACGCTAATTAAATTTTATCATCCATGCGTACCTCTCTCTGTTTCATAGTTGAATATTACCGATCTTGTTTTAGTACTCCGCGTGCGGGTATACAATATACAATAGCTGCGGGTCACCTGCGATCGCGCATTTATTGTTAAATGCATCGTCGATACACAGGGATAGAATAATCTCGATCTTAATCATCGACGACCGCAGCCACTGAATAAATTATTCCAAAATTCGAATAGACGCTATATTATATTCTCTTAAGTGAGTCACACCAGGATCTCACACTCGTGTAGCTTCTTCGAAGACCTCTTAGTAAGTGTTAACGCTATTCTTTCCTCTATTCGCGCGATCATCGCGAGTGTATATATAAAGTTTGTGTGTACACGCATGTACATCGCGATGCGAAGAAAAAGGAAGGAAGGAAGCGAGCATAGGAAGAATTTCGAGCGCGTGGCATGTGTGATACGCGGGCACGGGTTGAACGCGCCCAACATACACATTATATCGGTCTAAATATATACTCATTTATACACGCGAAGCGCGAACCGTCACCGCTGCACCCGACGGGGTCTTATACCCCACCCCAACATCGCGCATACACACACATACATGCATACGCGCGGACGACGCCCCCGATGGAGGAATCGGGGGAAAGGAAACGCGCATTAAGCGAGGAGTGTGTCGTCGTCGTTGGTGCGTGTACTATATAAATCGGCAGATGTGTCGGCTCGCGCGCTCGCTCACTCAGTATATATAGGAAGGTGGTATGTAGTAGTAGGGTCGCGTGCCGACGCCGCCACCGATCGTCGGAATATATGTATATATCGCGCGAAGCGTTGGTCGTTTTCACGCCGGTCGAGTACGACGACGACGACGACGACGACCCCCGATCGCTACTGCTAACTACCACTAGTACTCGTTGTGTGTACCCCCGCGTATATTATAATTATTATTATTATTATTGTAGGTGGAACATGTGCTGCTGAGCAGTGCTACGCGCATCGGACTCTCCTTCCCTCCCCCGACTGTACGACAGCTTTTGCCTTGCAGCGTGTGCTGCTGTATTGTAGGACACAATTTTGCGGACGTTCGGCACTTTCGCACCTGCCCCCCGGTCGTCCGCCCCCCTTCGATGCTTCTCTCTATGTTACATATAGTAATAGTATTCCTCGCTCGCGATTGAAAAAGCACATTTTTTCCAGTGCGCGTTGAATCGAACAATCGGCGCAGTTTTTTTTGTGTCGTCGTCGTCATCGTTGTACTTCTTTCCTTTTACCTCGTGCCCCGTACGCGTGTAGATATATGTAGAGAGAAATTGTATGATCGCGTGATTTTGCGCTTATTTCGATGTACCTATACGTACGTACATTCTTCTCATTTATCATTATATACGAACAATTATAAAGTATCCTCTCGATATTGTATTATATACAGTCGCTTCTGGAATGAAATGACTGTATGAATCGAATAAATTCCTCGGACGCCGATCGGCAATTAGTCATCGTTATACCATTTCGTTTCTTCATATTACGGCTCTCTAGCTCGGCTCGAATTAATAAAAATTAGTCACTTATATACTCGATACGCGCGATCCGAGAGTCGTCAGTTGGTTTTAATTCGCTGGATGTATATTAATTTTAAAAGCCGACGGTTAGGTAAAGAGTTTGAAGGGATCCTCCACTCGAAAACACTCGAGATATAGAGAGCGAGAGACTCGATTCAAAGTCGAGCAATTAGAATCTCGTGATTATATATACTTACGAATTAGACGCATGCACCGGTCTCGAGTGCTTTCGAGTCTCCAGCAATCGCGTGAGCTTTGAAGTCGGATCGCGATTTCGAAGCTCTCGAGACTCGGATGGATTTTCATGCGTTACTAGAGATGCTTTACTATACAGCTGTATATTAAAGCTCCAGGCTTAATGTTTTCTTTTTCTTTAAGAGCCAAAATTATTCTCAATCGCCTAATAGAAGTAAGACCATCTAAAAATGTCAAGTCCTGCCGCTAGATGTCATCGTCGAATCCACAAGTAGAAATCCAAACGCCGCGAGTGAAATATCAGCAATTTTTTTCAGATTTATAACTTGCGTTGGGATTACATTAGTGCGCGAGTTAATGTGCAACATATCGCTCTCTCGCACAGATATACATATAAAGCGGCGCGAGAGAGCAACATCTGCGTCGCGTTAAAGCCGAGCGATTATAATTATTACGAAGCAGGGCAAAGGCGGCGAGATATTCTCTTTTTCTTTCTCTCTCTCGTTGTCACACGTCGAGTCGCGTCGTTAACGGAGTGTCTCTCCTTTATATATATACCACCGCTCGCCGCCCTGTTTAATACTTTATGTACCTCGAGAGCTTCTAAGCTCTGCGTCTTATACGATACGCGCGCGACATGTCTTCCTTCTATTTTAGGAACGCCGTTGTGGCTTTTAAATGTCGCGGCTCGCGCCTCTCTGCCTGGCTCGTTTTCGACTTTCGTATGTATATAGGGCCGCGCGACGAGGAAAAATAAGTCGGTTATTTGGTTTAGGTAGTGCGATAGTAAGCAGGAATGGTGCCGCGCCAGGAGAAAAAAAGCAGACCAGCTCTCTCGGTTCTCGTTCTCTCGACGACTTTACGCTCCCCATCTCGCTATATAACACATTTCTTTGTTGCCTCGATCGCGCGCACGCACACATTCACACACACACACGCGATATACGGCGAGGATATTTTCGTCCATAATATAATATATTGGGGTGAGCAGCTCGATCGCATGAATCCATGGGTTCGGTCCACGATGTGTGTGTATGTGTGTGTGTGTGTAGAGGAGCGGCCGCAGAGTCGAGTCGAGCGCGCACAATTCACGCAGCGAGAGCACATGCTGTTGCTACTGCAGGGGAGCCGAAGAAAAGCTTTTGTCTGGACTGGTCCCCGCGCACTAATACATGCCTACATACCTGTATGTAAGTTCATTCACGTATGTATACGTACGAGTCTTTCCAAGGGTGCACATACACACTACTTATATAAATGGTAAATTGAATGAACAAAAAAAAGTGTAACCGGTCGCCAAGGGGTGGATCCGCGCGCGAGAGAGTAACCAGACGCAGTAGCTATGTATATACACACGCAACTGCGCACTACTCCGAGTTTTGTATTTTTCAACTGACTTTTGATTTCTCGGCAAGACGATGCATATGCGGTACATAAATTTACTCATGATGATATATAACCGAACTCGTCCATTCCAAGGGATGACTCACTCGTGTCATAGTCCCAAAAATCGCAGCAGCAAAGAGATCGGTAGCAACGATTGTAATATATTATATAGAGAGAGGATTGGTACGGGGCCGCGCATATCATTATAATATATACTCCCGAGCATATATAGCTGCGAGCTATCAGCCGATATATTATGATGGTCGTCGAGCTGACGATCGTATTTGGCATTTCGAGTCACGTCTTTATTTCTTCTCTTTTTCTCTCTCTCTTTCTGTTTCACTGCGTCGTGGTCGTTGACCGCGGGCTCGATATGCACACACACACACACACACACACACATATCGCATAGCATTATGTTTTCAATATTATAATATCCATGCGCATGCATGTGTTCCGATTTCCGAGACTATAATACACGCGCGCTCGGGGATTTGTACTATATTATCGTACGTATTAGCCCTCGAGCTCTCGAGTCGTCCGCGTTGTTGTGTGTGCATCCGAGATCGCACACACAGCAGCCGATATACATATAACGATCATCGATTCCTATCTCGCGCGCTGCGAGAGCTTCCAACCCGCGAGGTAAAAACGATTTAATGCGCGGGACGATCGGCCGTCGAGTGGGCGAAGACAAATATTATTACGCACCGCAACTTGCATACGGGCCCGCGAGGCACTTTGATATATACATATACCGCGCGAGAATTAGGCCCAACCTATCGAGGCACGCGCGCGGCTCACCCATATATAAAATATATAATATCGCGTGTATACGGAAGTACGCGCGTGACAAATTGGAATGTATCCCCGCCGTACGTATAACTGAACGACCGACGATGCTCCGAGCCGATAATCGAAACTGTTATATTTGACGCTTCGAGGCGAGGCAAGTAGTAAATCGTACGCAAGGCGACGAGAAAGCAATCGAGAGTTTGTATGCTAACGAATACATGTAGAAAGACGAATATATCGGCGGGTCGGGAATCATTCGTACTTATATAGTATACGCGTTATAATTACATGCGCGAGCCAAGCACGCGTCCTGCTGGAAATACGTATAAATAATATGTATACGCGACACTGCGGAACACAATCAGCTGCTGCTGCTGCTGCTGCTTATTTTGCGCGGGTTATTTTCGCGCGACATACGAGAGGAGAGAAGGAATTTTGCAAAAATGCCGAGGAGATATTATTGTATACAAAGACCGGAACCATGCGCAGCTGCAGTCCGTTGGAAAATGATCGCGTATATAGAAGCGATTGGATGTAAAATCTACGTAGCCTCTAAAAGCTCGTCGCAAGGACGTAATCGCCTTTGATTTAATTACCATTGTATACATATACCTGTGCGACTTTACTTAGAGATATTATATTCCGTTTGCGCGGATTGCATACATGTAGGAAGCTGCGATGACGATTATCATCGAAACACACACACACACACGCATGATGCACACGGTGCAGTAGGTATAGGTACACGATTCAAATACACTGACGCAGTGTGGCCAAAGGTGTGCTTTCGGCCAGTCGAAGAAGGGGGGAGAGAACAGCTGAACGCACGGGGGCATTCGGAGTAACAACAGAGAGAGAGAGAGAGATCGAGCATGCTGCTTACTGCCGCTGCTCCTCGTACGAGCGGGCCTTGCTCGCTGCACATTGTGTCTGTCTGTGTGCGTGTGCGACTGTGTGTATTATAGCCGCTTGGATTGGAACGCGTCGCGCCGTCAGTGTATAGTAAGCAGACGCCAGTCAGTCAGTACGGGCCGAGCGAGCGCGAGCGAACGACTCCTATATACCACTGCCGCTGCTCCGTTATAACTATCGTTGTATCTGTCTATTTACCGGCATCCTGGCGCGAGCACGCGCGCGCGCAAATCCGTTTTCGCGTGTGTTTTCGTTTGTTTTGCGGAATCCAAAAAAACGCACGTATAGAAGATATATATTTAAAAAATATATATATGAAATAAATAAATAAATTGAGAAGTGATCGCGCGAGAAGAGATATTCCCCCTATTATTTTGGCTCGCGGGGAATCTCCGGATTCTCTATACACCGCGTCGAAGTTAATCATGTGAATTGCCGGTGTGCAGTGGATTTTTTGAAAAAAAATCATCAGTGCCAGTTATCTTTTTTTTTTTTTTTTTTAATCGAGTGTATATATTATAAAATAATTACGCGCGCGTGTGTGTTTATGTGCACCAGTGCAAAGTGCGTGCCGGTATTAAATACAATACAACGACTTTTGCCGCGATTATATAATAATCGCATTCTATATAAAACATGAGCTCGTTCAAGCGCAACCAGAGCAAAGTCTTCTGGAGGCAGATGGAGGCGGCCGATCTCAACAAGCTCGCCTCGTGCTCGCCGCTGCCCGTCATCAACAACAACCACAACAACAACAACAACAATAATAACACAGCCGATTCGAAAATCGACGCTCAAAGTCGTCTACGGATAAAAGACGAGGAGGACGAGGAGGACATCGTGCCGGCGGCCGAGAGCGACACGACGAGCACCGACAGTCCCGACAACGTCACCGTCATACATCTCGATCCGGCGGTGCTCGTGGAAACGAACAACAATAACGACGCGTCCTCGTTACCCGATGCCTCGTCGCACAGGTAAAACTTCGAATAGATCTATAAAAGCTCTGCATTCTGTATTACTCGCTATATATAAGTTTTTTCACTCTATCTCTGCCTCTCTGCTCTTCTTCCTTCGCACGAGGGTGTTTACATACGCAACAATGAATCTACCTTCTGCGCCGTGTAACGATCCGCTCGGCAGCTGCCTCTTCGTCGCTGCTGTTCCTTACTACTTTTTCCTGATCTAATCTCTACACATTTTACTCTTGTTCATCACCCACGTACCTATAATAATAAATATACGCACATGCCTACGGTACAGCAGCCGATCGGCGTTGTGGACGCTCGAATGAATATTATGTTTTGTTTTGCTCGTTCGAGCCACACACACACACACGCCTATATTAGTACCTTTCCAAGGTACCTATATATGTCACTCGTAGTGTGATCCACTCTTCGTATCGGTATTCTGTGTCGTTCGAGGAATCGTCACACCATTGCTGCGTCGTCCCCGTCCGAGAGACTTTGGCGAATTCCAATTACACTCGTCGCGCGCGCACGGCATTGTTTCTTTTTTTTTTCATTTTATTTTCATTTTTCTCGAGGAATTCCGAGCGCTTCAACCTTCTATATGTGTATACGACTCGAAGTGGCATGCCAAGATCGTCCCGCGGTGTGTAACACACACATATGTATATAACGTACAACAATAGCCCCCGCGCGTATCGGTATTCGTAAACTCGTCTCTCGGTCGCGCGGAATCAAAACAAAAAGAGCGCGGAGACATAATATTGACCGACTATCGCAGCGAGTCGTATCTGCGCGATTTATTATTTGTCGATTCGAGGGAGAGAGAGAGATTAATAAAGCTAATATGAACTCCGATGCAGCCGTCTACAATAATCTGTGCACTTTATCGGAAACTCAATGACGACGACGATACTCTCGACATTATCTAAAAACGAAATTTACGATTTCTCTGATTCTCGAACTATACTCAAATCTCCAAGCCATTAAGCATCTTATACCTATACCTATATCATATACAACACTCGTGCTCGTGACTCAGTACACTCATTGTTCGAATACTCCGCACTTGCGATTACACTCCTTTTTTTTTCGTCTCCTCGCTTCTGCATCGACGTTCGACCAACATGGTGAATTCATAACATGCTTGTGTGCGCTGTATACGAGCCGCGAGTTGTGTTATATTATAGAGAAATACGAATCCAAGAGCGGTTTTGTTTTTCACGGCTCGCGTGTACATAGATATATACACGACACACGGAGAACTCGCGTCGACATGCTTAATCGAATCGTTGATTGATGATCGAGCGTTGTATCACAGATCGGTATACGGTACATTCACATCTGTGCCTGTGTGATGTGTTAATAAAATATTCGTTACTACACAGGCGTTCGCTTAAAAAAAGAGAGAGAGAGAGAGAGAAATTAAGTGAGCGAGCCCTGCACGCGCGCAATTAGTAATGATTACGGCTTCTACATAGGTATAATATACCATACGTAAATGCAGTGCGCGCGCGTCGATGTGCAGCGGAAGCGAGCGACCGACTTTGTTAAAAAGTGACTCAGCTGCGCTTGCCTTCTCTCGCTCTGCGCTCGACGCAGAGTCTTTTTTTTTTTTTCAATATATTTGTCAACTTTATAAACCCGCAACGCATAAGGACACACGCACGCGCACACATTCACAGATACACGCACGAGCTCGTGATAATGGCAAACGAAAAACTCTGGCCGCGCGATAGCGATTTTCCTTTCTTTTTCGGGTGTCGCACTCGCGACCGGTTAAAAAAAAACTCGTCGATTTACCGTTTGGTTGAACATTTTTTTTTTATTTAGTTTCGATAAATTAAAGCTCAGCGACGTACGCATTGTTTCGAGTCTTTTCTGAGATATCGGTTAGCCACGCCGTTAATAAACATCAAACGTTATCCAAGTTACCGCTAGATGGCACGTGCCCGAATTTGCAGAATTCTGCAAGAGAAACGGCAACGTTATAGAATTAAGTATAAGTCAATTTTACAGTTTTTTGACCGCCAATAATTTAATTATATAATATACTCATGCTGCACTCTATTCTATATAGCCCTATACAAGTCTCTTCTTCCTTCCGCTTCTCTATTATTATTATTATCATCATTATCAACCATTAGAGCATCGTCACTTCAATAATATTTTTTCAGCGTGAAACGCGTGGTCAAACTCATCCCGGCGACGAGGACGAGTCGTCGCCACGCGATCGCCGTGGAGGCCGGTGGCGCCCTGGCCGCGGAGGTCGACCGTCCGCTGAGTCCGGCGCGCAGCCGCGGTCAGCGAAGTCAGGACTCGGGCTTCTCCGACTCGGACTGCTCGTCGTCGAATAACTCGCCGAGGCACGGGCGCCGTCACCATCATCATCATCATCGTCGCCGAAGCAGTCGTAGGAAGCAGCAGCAGCGAGAGCAGGAACAGCAGCTGGAGCTGCAGCTGGAAAAGTCGAGCGTCGGCGCTCAAGTGCCGCAGCCTCAGGTCGCCGTGTTGACCTCGACGCCGAAGCAGCAGCAGTCGCCGCTGACAGCCGAGCTTTTCGACGACGTCGTGCAGCGGCAAATCGATCAGATCCCAGTGAGAAATCACTTGCACTTCGGCCTCGATAACGACGGGTGAGTGTGTTTATACTCGAGGATGACCTTTTCGTGAGAAATCTTCGTGCCTTGTATACGATAAGAGACCGATATCGCAATTATGATTCGACAATTATCGATCGAATCGTCGCGCGCCGATCCCATATGAATTTGCAATTGTAATGCTCTGCCCGCGAGAGATCAACCATATTATGTAATAATACAGAAATCGAAGCTCCTTCTTTTATTTTAAAATTAAAATGCTTACCTCCACACCTACGAGTGTCCAATTTTCCTGTCGTGTGAATAACTACGAGTACATTAATGAGCTGATATTTCTCTCGAGCTTCCTTGACGAAAGCTTTTTAATGTTTGCACATGTACACGGTATTTCGGTAAGTCGAGTGAGCAAACAAAAAAAAAAAAATACAACTATACATAGCGATGTAAATCAACAGGAAGTGGGAAAGTAAAATTATAAATAATTTATATGAACGCTCGTGATATCACAGTGATGCAACGCACGATGAAACCTCAGCAATTTTTTTTTTCGTCGCTGATCTTTGCGTGTTCAATAAGCTTTTGCCGGTCTTTAATTTCTCTCTTCCTCCTTCTCCTCCTCTCTGCATTCGGTACATAATAATACTTGGCGCCGGGTATATCAAATTATGAAAAATACCCGCCCGAACACCTGCGTGAATCACGTGTCTATACGTATAAATTCTAATTGACTTTTACCCAGCAGAGAGCTTAATTCACGGCCGCGGCATTTTTCATAATATCGAGATTATACGAAAATCCATTGTGCGTATCTCGATTATAGATTATGTACAAGGTGTGCAGTGTATATATATAAATGAATCTCTCGTCGGAGCGCGCGGGAATCATTACACGAGGCCAAGAGCGTGCCGAGTACTCGAGCGAGAGCCAAGTGTGTGTGTATAAGCGCGATGAATCGCGATATATATTCATATATGAATATGCTACCTTCGCGGCTGCGTATAGATTACAAGGAACGCGCGTACAATACGAGAATCGGATTCTCTCGTCTAAAACACGAGATAAAGGCCAACTGACCCAAATCTCGGTCAAGATAATCGATGCCTGTATAATATAATAAGATCCCCCTACCTCCATACCATCCAGAGTATACATAATGTCGTTATAATGTGTATCATCGTGTATAACGAGAAAAGAAACGGCCACACGTTTCGTTATTATACGGGCTCACCATCGAAATTTCGTCTCTCTCTCTCTCTCTGTCTATTTGGCCCTGAACCGTGATCGATAACGAAGAATCGATAAATACGCGCCCGAGGGCAAAGACACGGATTCCGAGTTTCGTTTGTTTGACTTTGATTTCATTTTCTTTTTTTTTTTTTTTTTTTTTTTNTCATTTTTTTTTTTTTTTTTTTTTTTTTCAAAGAAGATCGAATCAAGAAGATAACGCAGAGTCAGGGCTTGTAATAAATATCCATCACATGCTCTTCTCTCGGTGTATATAAGCGCGCGAAGCGTGGCTCTACGCGATAATTGTCCAATTAAAGGCAGCTCCTTATACATACATATCTATAGGTATCGATCGTTAAGTGAAAAGTAAAAAAAATTTCTAAATATTTCAAATCGTTTTCATTAAAGCTGCGTCACGCGCGTTCTAACTAAGACGAAGAAGAAAAATAAAACTTCCTATAAACACATCGGCGGCGACGGTCTATGATTGTTTTCTCATTTACGTGTACATAATCTGCATACTTACGTGCTGTGTGTGCACCTGGTTCACCAAGACCTATTAGTCATATCATACTTAGCAAAAAAGTCTGTCTTTATCGCGCGGAGTCTGTGTGTTTGTTCACTCGCAATTGGCAGCGTTTCCGTTTTAATATATGCCTATATACTACTGCATCGGTCGCGGCGCGCGGAGGTCTTATGGATGCACGTAACGATCGTGACTCATATTATTATCCGCGTAGTAGTAGCAGTAGTACGCGTGAAATTCATCACCGTACGTACACGCCGCCGCCGCTCCGTTTTCTCGTTTTGTCTCCGTTGTTTTTTTTTTTTTCATTTCTTCTCTTTTTTTTCGATTCAAAAGCGCGCTCCTTCGAGCTGAATCACGCGCGGCGCGCGGCTTTATCGTGACGTTATATATATAGAAAATGAGGAGGGAGAGAGCTGCTAATCGCGCTGCGCTGATGATGACGACGATGATTCAAAGGATACGCGTCTCGCTAATGTCAAGCGCTCGGACGTCTTCCGGGAAAATCACTTGGCTGTGCTGCCGCATCTCATTGTCACAGATATAGAGACGATCGTCGTCCGCGAGTTCCGTATGACTCTTCGATTTTTATAATCTAACATGTATATAAAATAAAATACGTGACCCAGATATAGCGAGAAAATAAGACACATTGCACATGTTGCTCGGACACTTCCTCCTCCTATACACATATAGCGTCTTGTTTATCCTCGACTGATAAGACGAAGCAAAGAAAAAAAATGAGGGCCGAGTCGCCCGCGAGGCCTACATAATACACACTTTGGTCCGTGAGCAAGTGCGTATACGCGAATGCGAGATAAAATCGTGTGTGTCCCACCTCGTACTACTCAAACGTGTAATAATGCTTCTGCACTGCGAGATGGCTATGTATCGTCAAGGCTGCAGGCCTTCGTGTACTCGACTATTGGAGTTCGTAATGCAGGCAGGATTATTGCATACATACGGGTATGCGCGTATGCGCGCGGACAAGGACACGATTTACCGTTGGCCGCGATAGGAAGGAGGAAACTCGAGGGCTTTATCTTAGAGGCGCGAGTCGTGCACTCGGATATATATATAATAATACCGATCGTGTACACGTTTTTTTTCCTTTGTTTAACTTATTTTTCTTAATTACAAATGTTTCAGCAGCAGTCACAATCAGGATGACACCACGCCACGCGAGAGTCTACGAGACTTTCTCTACGGCGACGACAGAATGTTCAACAACGAACAAATACAGCACCACAAATCCAGCTCCAGTCCGAGTCCCGTGTCGAGCTACTGCGACGACGACGACGACGACGAAGATTTTGAAGACGACGATTTGGAGACGAGGGAAGCCATCGGCCGATCGCCGGCCCAGGTCTGGCTGACGGAGCTGCGCGACGACTGCGAGGACGAGTGCCAGGCCACCCTGCAGAGCAAGAGTCTGCCCAAGCGCAGCAGGGCGCGCTACCCGAACGAAGCGGCGGACGCGCACGATCTGCGATTGCTCACCGCCTCGGCCACCACAGCGGCCAAGAAGATCGTCGACGCAGCCGAGCGCTTCGACAGGTCCTATCACAAACTTACGCAGTGAGTATCACGTGATATACATAACGATATAGTGCCATGATGAATACCGATCTTCGTTGTAACCGATGTTTTCGATTGCGTTCGAACGCAGATCGATGATAGCCGCGACGAGCAGCAAGAGCAAACAGCTGCGCGACTCGCTCGGCCGGTTCGAGGCCGAGGCCTCGGACATCCTTGTGAAGCTCGGCTCGACCCTGCCGAGACGTTTGGCCAGTCACGAGGACCAGCCGCGCACGATGGCCCTGCAGCTGGCCAAGCTCAAGAATCACGTCGATCGCGCCCTCGACAGGCGGCTCGATTTTTACATCGAGGTAAACATGCGATCTCCGTTATTATTTCACTTTCGTTCTATCTTTATGTAAAATAAAATAACTAACATTTACCGATCGTTGCCAACAGAAAGTGGTACGCGGCCTGGAGGAAGCCCCGCGCCAGACGGGCAGCACCGCCCGAGGAGCCTTGGCGGCTCTCACCGCGCTGGCTCTTGCCGGTCCCCGAGCCGCGGCGAGCATAGCCCGCTGCGCCGGTGTCCGTGCGCTGCTGCTGTCGCTGGTCTCGGCGGGCCGCCTCTCCACGGATCTGCGCTGCGCCTGTCTGCGCGCCCTCGCCTGCGTCTGCAGCTGCCTCGAGGCCGTCGACCAGTTCGTCGCGGAGGCCGGGCCCGAGATCCTCGTGGATCTGCTGGCGGCCCCGGAGACGCCCGAGGCCGAGAGATCCGAGGCGGCCGCCCTGGTGGTGCAGTTGACGGCGCCCTGGATCGAGCGCATGGGACTGGCGCATCTCGAGCCCTACTGCGAGCGTCTGGTCGAGGCGCTGACCGAGCTGGCCGAGGCCACCCACGACAAGCAGACCTTGCTGCTGGCCGCCGCCGCCATCAATCACCTGAGCCACTCGCGACACTCGATTCGCCACATCGTCGAGCGCGACTCCATCAAGAAACTGCTTAGGTTGGTGCAGCTCCTCCTCCTCCGCGACGAAGATCGTAGTAACTCACTTCTTCCGTTCGAACGCGTGGCTATTGAATTGACGAATCGATTTCAGATGCGTGAAGAAGTCCCAGGGCGGCAACGTCTGGCTGATGGAGCAGGTCGCTGCGCTGGTGGGCCAGGTGGCCCGGGTGCCCCAGGCGCGCGCCCACCTGGCCAAGACCCGCGCCTCCGTGGCGCTGGTCTGCTTTTTGCGCATGCAGCCGCCCGGCCACGAGGACGAGTATCGCCGACTGGAGGCCACCGCGAGCGAGGCCCTCACTCGGCTCTGCGTCGATCCGGAAATAGCCGAGCAGGTCGTCGCCATTGGGGGCGCCAACTTCCTGCCCGAGGAGCAGCAGTCGTCGCAGTCGCAGCAGTCGCAACAAGCGAGCAGTCATCAGCAGAACTTCGCGAGCACCAAGAGTCTGCGGAGAGCCAGAAAAATAGCGGCTCAGCACATAGGTAACGCCAGGATTTACGACATCAGTCCGCGCTGATGTCGTCCTTAATCCTCGTTTGCTTTTTTCTTTTCATCGTTACCTCGAGAGCTTCGCCATTATAAATAATTATAATTGTACGATGTAAATTTTAATTTGTCATGTAATACGTTTCATATGATGAAAAGTAATTTAATTTATATTTTTTAAATTTTTTGTAATTTTTGTTGCGAAACAAAATCGTGTAATTTTGTGAGCCTCGCCTCGGGTCCAAACCGATCGATGAGCGAGTGAAGGTCTATTTTTATTTGAATTTCATACGCGCTATATGTAATGTAAAATACAATCATGTTTGAGTTAGATTATTTTCGAGTTTTAAATCAAATTCTGTGTACGATTCATTAGGCTCGATTACGATTACGATTATGTTCAATGTACAATAATTCGAGGAGTTTTAGTTAAGTACTGTACATAGATAAAATGTATTATTTTCATAAGTACTGAATCTAGTCTAGCTTACGATACTTTTTATAATTGTAAAAAAATAATAAAACACGATCAAACATCAACATTTATTTTGTTTAATTTAATCACTCTGATCCAATTTTATTTGAAAACTGTAACTGATCAATAAATAAACAGTACGTGAATTGACAATTTCGTGTATTTGAAAAGTAATGGAATTTATTACATATATATTTACATCAGCGGCTGATAATCTATTTACATAAAAAACAATCAAATCTTTAAGTAAATTTCTTAATTATTTACATTAAAGATTGATTACAAAAATTGTATTCTCTTGTTGAAAGCAAAATATTTATTTTGCTCTGACTAATCGACTTTAAAATTAATTTATGTCAATTCCCAAATTTTGGAAACATTATTTATAACAGCTTTTGGTTCGTTTTTGAAAAACATGAAAAATCCTTGAATTTGAGCAGGACTCACATTTCGTTTGTGAGACAAGACACTTTCAGAAAATTGCTTTGCTAGATCTTCAGTTTCTGCAGTGTCTGTTTTGTAAAATCGAACAAACATTTGTTCTAGTTGTTTACCTGAGCACCATCCTGAAATGAAATTTTTTCATAAATAAACTTTTAAGAAATTTTATAAAAAGTAGCGATCTATATCATACCAATGTATTCTTTGTAGTCAACTCTTCCTGGTCTGATCAAAGCAGGATCCAATCTATCCAAATAGTTAGTTGTCATGAATAAAATTCTTCCCTCTGAGGAGGCTACACCATCTAATGCATTCAACAAACCACTCAGGGTAATGCAATTAAGCCCTTGATAGGCTGATTTCACTTCTTTTGTTTCTTCTCTGCTGACAAATACTGCATCAATATCTTCCAATAAAATTATAGTTTGTTGTGGAGCTATGGCTAATAAATGATTCAATCTGTCGTCCGTCAGCATTCTATCAGACAAATTCATGACGCAGATTCCTCTGTCCAGCTCACCAGCCAAAGCTGTAATGAAGGAAGACTTTCCACAACCAGGTGGACCATGCAATAAATATCCTCGACGATAAGGTATGCCTCTATCACTGTACCAAGATACATTTTGTATGAATTCTTGACAGTCTTTGACAATGTTATCAGCAATATTGGCATCAAGGACCACGCTGTCAAGTGGTCTCCGTTTCTTTGGATGACCAAACTGTCTCCATTCATGGCCCATAGCTGTATACATAATGGTCTTACCTTTATGCTCTTCTAAAGCCATATGTCTTGCTTCCTCTAATATATCAAAGTATATTGATCTATTTTTTCCAAAAGCAGTAAGATGCACTGACTCAAATGGCATTCCAAGATTGACATCGTGCATTTGCTGCTCCCGAGTTCTTTCAACTTTGATCCAATTATTTTTATACCTATAAGACATCGCAGTTTTAACAAAATTTGTTCACACTATATTCAAATTTTTCTATGGGTTTGTAAACGGACCTGAAAAAATGTGTTCCAATACTAGGTATGAATTCATATCTGGTAGATACATATCCTGTATCGCTTTGCTGAAAACTTGTTGATACAGCTAAATGTTGAGTCTTGCGAGCACCCTTATATGTTATCCACTTCAGTAGCCATTCATAACTTTTATCTCTACATGGTACTTCTAATGTTATCATATAATGTCGCCTAAATGAAAAAAACAACTATAAAAATATGACAACTGAATATATGTTAAGGAATTTAAAATAATTTACTACCGAAAAAGTATGGTAGCTGTTTGAAAGCCTTTTCTTAATATGGCAGCTCCAGCACCTAAACCAAATAATCCAAACCCGGCACCAAAGTATGGATTATCGGAAAGTTGTTGTACGTACTCGACAATTGTCATTTTTGTATTAATCGTATATTCACGATTTGAAGAACTTTAATTCAGATATATATGTTGTTTTGTAAACAAATCAACATTTATGAAAGATAATTATCGAATGACACATATATTTTCATAGTTTGTATTTTACAAAAGTAGCATTGAATCAAACCCGACCGCAGGTTATATTTACTTATTACGAGACACGCTGCAAATTTAGCAGACGATACTGACTATAATTTTACTGTACTTCAGGCTCTTTGTAGAATTCATAAGGTGTGAGGTCTCACTAAGTCGGTATCTTGCGCATTCCCTCTCATGCGACATTGACAGTGAGTGTAGTCAAATGTCAAATTAACTGTCACTTGCGTCAAATCGAAGTAACGAAAATGCTATTGAAATTTGGGAAAACTTTTAAAACAGCATTTTTTTCTTTTTAGACAATAGAAGTTTGAGAAAATTTACATATTTAAAATAAATGTAAAAATCGACAAGATTTATATTCATTCAATCATTTATATTCTTATAAAATTCATTCTTTTTACAATCTTAAAATTAGTTACTGTAAACTGTATACAGTATATTATATAAAATTAACAGTATAATACATTTAAATCATCTATTTTTAACTTTCTGCATTAGGCTTATGATAAATATCAACAGTAGTTTCTAAACAAGGACGCAATTCTAGATCGCTGTAGCCTAATACCATTTTACCTTCAGGAGGTCTGAAGTAGTCTAATCCTCTTCCAATTTTTATCACCCATCCAGTACTTAAACTGAAATTAATAAAGTCATATTTAAAAATTTTTCATTAAGACCAATTTGAAGTAATTTGACAATAAAACTTACATAATTTGTCTATCATGAAGAGTGTCTGAATATGATACTTCTAAAGTAACTAAATGACTAGCTAAACTTTTTTTCAACTCATCCAGTCTTGCCATTTGATTAAATTTATCTGGATCACTTGTTGTTATCAATGTAATTTTCGACAACGAACGACATTTTTGCACTGCCAGCTCACAAAACCTTAAGAAATTTTGACACTAAGAAGAAATTGTTGGATAAATGCAAGAGCTTTGCTAGGAGAAAAGAGTTCTTTAAAAAGCTACGTACCTGATGAAAAGCTCTGATGTAAGGATCTTCAACTTTAATTTGTGTGACAGCTGCATCTAAGAATCTACCAAATACAGAATTATAGCCATATCCAACAGCACCACTTTCAATTTTTGTACTTTCTTTGTATGTTCCAGATAATTTTTGTTCTTGAATAAGAGCTTTTATGCGCTCTGCTCTATCTATGTATTCAGATGCTTTAGCAAGATAATGGTTTTTTGTTCTCTTATCTTTTTGATCTAAGAGCATAAGATGTCATTTTATAATCATTGATTGTTAGAATTTCAATTGAAATAAAAAATATTCACCTTTTGCTGACTGTAAAAGAATAGCTGCACCTTCTTCATAAAGAGCTTTAGCCATTGTATACTGTTCACTTTTGTCTTTTTCTACTGCTCTTTGTAGAATATATGCTGCTGCACTTTCCATTTTTAATTCGTATATTTTATTTATTTTAATTCACACGTCAATTTTATGCACAATGCATACATTTATGTTTATCTAAATAAATTTCGATTAAAATCAAATCGCCGTCATAATTGTTTGCCAAGTTAACACATAATTAAACTTGGATATATTATTAACTTTAATAGAAATGCATTACTATCACGTGCGTGTCCGATCCATTTCGAGTGGACTGAAATCAAATAATGCATTTTGACGGTTACTCGTAAGTCGTATGATCTTTAACCTAAAGCTTTGCAGTGTGCTGTGACTTTGTAAACATACACAACGACGAGTCAAAACATTGACACATGACTGATAGATTTAGTGAATTTTAACAGTTGTAAATATAACAGGAAAATAATGAATTCTAGTCCGAAAAAACGTGAAAATTCTCGTTTGTGGGGTGAACTACCTCCAAAAGAAACTGCTGAAGATAATGATCCTGAGCAAGAAAATGCCATAAAAGAAGTATTTTCTTCGGACGTCGTCGAAGGTATTTGGCGTCAGGTTATGGATGAGTACAATAGCTCGGATTGCGATTATCAAAATCACAAACAATCAGAATTTATACAGTAAGTCTTTAAAATTTGTAATCACTTCAAGCATCTTATTTTTTTAAATAAACGTGTACACCTGTGTTTATCAGATTACCTGCTGGAAACTCGCATGTTTTAAACACAGTGCACCTGCAAGAACAAATAAAACTAATGGTCAGTTGTTTGTTTACACTTGAAATATATATTTTAAATTATACTGGAATTCTTATTTTTATTTTTTAGGATGAAGGTACAGTGTTGAATAATCTAACAGTCATAGAAGATGAAAATGAACAGTCAGCTTCACAAAATAATCATAGTTTTTCTATACCCAATAGTGATCAAAAGTAATAATGTTTATTTTACATTAGTATCCTAAAAATTGATAAAATGAATCATTTATATAACAAATTAATTTTTTAGAACCAAATTTAAAAACCAACCTCCAGGACCACACTTGAAACCTTCAACGGTTCAAAGTTTATTGCAACACTCAGTTATAACACTGCTAGCTCACATTGGGTTTGATAAAGCATCGGATCATGCTATCAATACTCTTTCAGATATTGCAGATCATTTTTTAAGAAAAATAGGGCTCTTGCTCAAAAAAGCTTCAGAAGAAACAAATTATGGTTTTCCAGTAAATTATTTTTCTCAAAAAATTAGTACTATTTTAACAGAGCATTTTTGAGACATTCACTTTTTTTATCACTAGGACGCATTGCAGAAAGTTCTTGTTGAATCTAACATTGGAGGCATTGCAGCCCTTTATGAGCACTACGAAGAGTTTGTACTCAAACATGAAAAATATGTTAAAAAAATGGCAGAAAGAAAATTAGAAGAACAAAAACAGCTGGAGTTGAATATTTCCAAAACAAGGTAATTTCTAAAAAAAAAATGTCAATCTAATGGAACTTTTATTTTCTTCAACTAACTCTGCGATTATCTTTTAGTATGGATATAAATGAAGCAACGAATAATCTTCAGTTTGACGAACTTGGTGAATTTGGAAATGTTTATAAAGAAATACCAACTCTACAGTTACTTGACCCAGAAATGGGATTTCCACCTAGTTTAGATGCAGGCTTCCAAATGCTTCACAGTTTAGAACAAGACGAGTTAGTATTGATTTGAAAAATTCTCTCTTAACGCAGTATAAACTTGAGTGTTGTACAATTCATTGAATTTTCAGATTAAATAGTTTATCAATGGAAGAAGATGGATGATGCTCATTATTAATTGTATGATATTTTTTGATACCAATGTGAAATAATCTAGCGAGATAAATTTAATTGTACAACTAAGTTAATTGTTATTTTTATTTTTAATAAAAAAACATTATTTCAAATTAACTTCGTCGCTTTATTCACCGTGGTGAATCGAATAATCATTAAAAATTAGCGCGCGCAAAAAAAAACAATAAATAATCGAGTCGAGTCGTTTAAATAACATCATTTGCGGTCTGTCTTTTTTGCATCGAACGCAAAATCGAAAGTTCGAAATCGGCGGTCGACGGGCGCAATTGCAAACTCCACTTCCTCGCGTGTATATAGTATACGTGCGAATACGTATTCGTACATCGCTCCGTTTTTTAAGCTGCTATATATGCTGCCGAGTGGCAAGTGGTGGCCTGTGGCCATATAGTATCTATCTCTCCGTACAAGCGAGTCGCTGGGTAGTGGCGCTCGATTGTGTGCGTGCCGTGCGTGTGCACAAGAGACACTAAAGTGCATTACATCCGTAGTACACATAACTACATCAGCGTTTACGTATGCACGTATAGTTTAATCATATCAACAGAACACGTCAGAAAATGGCAGAACCAGGACCGAGTAAAAGCGATATCGAGGAAGTCTTCAAGCGCCTGCGAGCTCTTCCTGCCAATAAGGTTTGTTTTTTTGTTGATTTATTTGCATAACCTTTAACCAGTGTGACACACGAGATCTGCTGCTTCGTGACAGCGAATTTCGCTTTCAAAGTCATCCTTGACGTTTGGTTCTTTCGATCACGAGTTGTCTATAGTTTCTTGCACGAGAGATGCTTTTTCGATATGATGAATATTTAAAATGACATGATCGAAATATAACTATTCTTGCCTGTGACTCTCTTCAAATGTACAATTTCGTAAATATTTGCAAAGGCTTTGTTCTAATGTTTTCACGATCTTGACATCAAGTTGAAAACCTTAACAGCTGTTTTTGTCAAACTTACAAAATTTGAATAAGTCTGGAAAAAACATTAATAATAACTACTGTTTTATTATTTACAGACATGTTTTGACTGTAATGCCAAGAATCCAGCTTGGTCCAGTGTTACATATGGGGTTTTCCTGTGTATTGATTGTTCAGCTGTACATAGAAATTTAGGTGTTCATTTAACTTTTGTACGTTCAACCCAGCTGGATACTAATTGGACATGGCTGCAATTAAGAAATATGCAATTGGGTGGCAATGCTAATGCTGTAAGTTTTATCACCAATATATTTAAGAGTGCCAATGAAAAATATTTATCCACATTTTTCATTTTATTTACAGAGAAAGTTTTTTGCTCAATATAATTGCAGCACTACTGATGCTCATCAAAAATATACGTCTCGAGCTGCCATGCAATATAAACAAAAATTAGTTCAACTTTCTAATGAAGCAATGAAACGTTATGGGACACAGGTAAAATAATATCCAAATAATTTATACCTACGTTTTCGTTAAATATATGTAAAAATTAAAAAAAAATACTTTTATTATACTGAATTATAGGTCTTTTTATCAACTCAAAATCAGAGATCGGTGAGCTACGAAAATAATTGTTTTTCAAGCCACTGAATCTAAATATTGATTCATTTACCAATTGCTAATGATCATAATACTCATAGAGCTTGAATACATTTCCTTGTATTTAATTTTAATTCTACATTACCCTAAAATTTTTAATTGCATTTAGATTATAAAATCACATATTTAAAATTGTGCCTTTATTGTGTTATTGACAAAAATAATAATTCATTTAAATAATCTAATGTTCACTCATATATCTTTATAGGAAATATAAAAGAAATTTTGTCATTAATTGTAATTAATTTTATAGCTGCATTTGGAAGAGCATACAGAAAGTGAAAATGTCCCAAAAGAAGTGGATTTTTTTGAAGCACATGAAAATTTTGATTTAAATTCTGAAGCCACTGTGCCTAGCAATCGTTCTCATTGTGATACAATCACAAAATTAGTGGATGAAGATCATGACATTCATAGTTCTGACAACATAAATGCAGATTTTCCCACTAAAAATGCTGATAAAACCTCAGAGCCAGCTGTTACCATTGGATCTTCATTATTAGGAAGTTCAGAACCAAGAAAGTCCACCATTGGAAGTAGGAAACCTCAAATAAGAAGAGGCGGGGTAATTAAATAAAATAATTGGTTATTTTATACACATACAATTATACTATTTAAGTAATTTTTTTCATCAACCAGATCGCTAAAAAGGGACTTGGTCTGGGTGCTCAAAGGATTGTAACAAATTTTGAAGAAATTGAAAAAAGTGCTGCAGAAGCAAGTACTAAAGAAAAATTGAAACTTGAAAATGCAGAACCATCTGAAGAAGGTGAAAGTCAAATGAGCGAAGAACTATCTTCTAAATATGCACAAGATCTTGCTGATCAAGTTAAAAAAATTGAAGAAAGAGTGCAAAATATGAATCCTTATAAAGCAAATGAAGCTGCAAGACTTGGAATAGGTTTTAATACTAATAGGTAAGTTGATAAAATGATAGTGAAAATATCAAGATTCAAACTAACAATAAAAAAAATGTATTTATTTCACAGAGGCGTTAGTCATTCTGCTTTTTCTGATATGCAAACAATAAAACAAGAGAGATCAGAATCTGTTACAAAATCAGAACCAAGAATGAAAAAATCAAGTGATTTTCATTACATGATGTCTGGATTTGAATCTGTGACAAATGATTTTCCTAAAAGTTCTTCCAAAAATTCTTCAAAGAGTTCTTCTAGAAGTTCATCAAAAAGTTCAACAAAAAGTTCAACTAAAAGTTCAACAAAGACCCCTACCACTAAAAGTGGTAAAAATTGCATGGATGAATTTATAGTGCAAGAAGAACCAAGCAAACATGAAGTAAGAAGTCAATTTTCTGGCCCTCCTCCAATGCAAATGTCCTCATCAAAAAGTGCCAGTAGTATATCAAATAAAAATAGTAGATCCAATGATTATGGAGATAATGAAGCTCAGAAGAAGTTTGGCAGTGCAAAAGCAATTAGTTCTGATCAATATTTCCGTGACTCCAAGAACGACGATAATGCGGTAGGTTTTATCATAAAAAGTAAATTATATTAAATTTACAATAACTTTAAATGTATATTACGTGTAAAATTTTAGTATGGAGAAAGACAGAACTTACGTCGATTTGAGGGATCCTCCAGCATTTCATCGTCAGATTATTTTGGCAGGGATCAAATGTCACCAAACTCACAGAACCCTTCATTATCCATGAATTTGCGAGGCAGCGTTGATTTCGATGACGTTCGAGAAAGTGTGAGGCAAGGCGTCAACAAAGTAGCCGGTAGACTGAGCTCACTAGCTAATGCTGCTGTTAATTCTATACAAGATCGATACGGTCTTTGAGCATAAAAAAATTTTTATGCACTGCATACATTTTTTTCATCAATTTGTTAATATTACTATTATTATATTTATTATTACTGATAACACTAATTCAAAAATGAGCAAAAACTTCTTTTACTCCAATTGTTATTACTTGAAAATTTGCCCACTGAATATTGACATTTATGTACATAAAAGAATTTTAGAAAATAGATTATTATGGTAAAAATTAGTTCTGTTGTTCAAATAAATTATTTTAACATATCTAAGTTGTCATGGTGTAAGAAATAATTAGTGGAAAGTAAGACAAGTAAGAAATGTGCTTTTAACGGTTTTACTTATAAAAATATTTATAAATTTTACGGTGTACAGAGCTCTAACAAAATGAATACATAATAAATACAATAACAAAGATATTTTGGACAGTACAGTAAATGTAGTTATAATGTTACAATGGAGCATAATATGCTAATTTTAGTATCATACAACTGTTCAGCACAAGTGATTCATTCCAGGTTATTTACACTCTTTATTATAATTTTATTATTTTCATGGTAAAATGGAATAAACGTACATGAATGAGTAGCTATACTTATTATCATTATTCAGAGGTATTATTCATTTGTTTCTCTGGTGTTGATTCTTTATCAGTAGAATTGGTTGCAGATTGAGGAGCAGGTCTTTGACAATTACGGAGCATGTTCACATAAGGTTTACCGTGTAAGAAACTCACTAAGACCACTGTCATATTGTCACAGCCAGTTCCCATGAGAGCATCAGGAGCTAGACAATGATTGATCAATTGTTCACAAATTTCTTCAGGATCAATATAATTATTTTCTTCATTTGGTTCAATGTTTGCACTCTCAGCAAAACGTGTTCTTATGAATTCAATAACAGCCTCACTGCTCATAACATCCCATATACCATCACAAGCCAGCACCACAAATTCCCAATCCTCTGTTATTTCATGGCGCTGAATTGTAGGTAGAGCTAAAAATTGAAAATAGCATATAAGCATTCAATTTACTGAATAATACTGAAGAGAATTTCTACGAATTATTAAAAATGCATTTACCAGTCACAATTTGATCTTCAGCTTTGACATTTTCATTCTTTTTGAACATGAAATCTCCCAAAGCTCGAGATAGTGCTAGGTGTCCATTAACTCTATTAAATTCCACCCAACCACCCGCAGCTTCGATACGATCTTTTTCTTCTTTCAGCATTGGTTTGTGATCATAACTTAAAGGAACAGCTTTGCCAGCCACACTTGCCACTGCTCTGCTATCTCCTGCATTAGCCTATAGAAAAAATATATATTTTATTTTCAAATGCTAGTTTAAAGTTTTGTAAATTTTACTCTTATAGTCTTACACAGTATAAAACATTGTCCTTAATGAGAACAGAAATGACCGTAGTGCCAGCTTGAGCATTTTTGGTTGCTTCGTCAGTTTGCATGACTTTGTCTATTTCTAAAAAGCCTTTTTTGAGAGCTTCTTCAATTTTGCCTTCTTTGTATTCTGGTTGATTAGTAACAAATTCATGCAGATGCTTTCCAGCGTACTGCGCCATGACAGCACCTACAAAATAATTAAAAATTCACCAGGCGTAAAGAAAAATGTAAGGCAAATTTTTAAGATTGATTTCGAAGAATGTACCTCCGTGTCCATCGTACACAGCAAAGAAAGCAGAATTTGGATCGTCAGGTAAGGATAGAATGTGTACATGAGAATCTTCCATTTTCACTCGCCATCCTTGCATGCAGGAACTGCCAACTTTGTAGTTGTCGTCTTTGCAAAAGGCAGACCTCTTGGTGGTCACAGGTTCACTAAGTGTTTGACCCATAACTACTCCTTCAACGTTCCAACAAAAAATCACGATCAAAACGACGAATTTTGACTTTTGGGTGAAACGCAATGGCAAAGAAATTGCTTACCTGTTAATTTTACGATTTCTTTAACAAAACGATGTACTTTAAAAAGATTATTATAGCTCATGAAACGAGAAGTAAGCTCATCACTGGTGGACGTATCACGTGTGGTAGTAGCAGAAACGGTTGTTACATGCTGGAAAAAAAATAATTATACATACACGTAAGTATTGAAAAGGTAAACCGAGTATAATGCCGATGACAGTTTGAAAGAGCATGAAATCATAAAGGCGAGTATGGAGATGTGCAATTAACAGACACCGAGAAAAAAAAAAGAAGAAGAAGAAGAGGAAGCTGTCGTAATGTTTGCTCGCGAGCTTGATAAATTTATTCATAGTTTACCCAATACGGCTACACGCGAATCAAAAATATCGTAAGGCGCACACACACGGCAGCACGGCTCAAGGCGCTATAATACAGAAAATGTTTCCAATACAAATACACATACACACACAGAAACACGTATTAAATATCGGTCTATCTATCACACGTACGAGAGAAACGCAAAATTCACAATTAGTCCTGGCGATGATCGTGCCTCGAAATAAATTATTTTACGTATACTCTTATCTCGCGTGTAATATCGTACGCGCGCGGATACAGCTCCAAAACAGAAAAAAGAAAAAAACGAAACGTAGGCAGCTGCAGGCCGCACCGAGCAATTTATCGCAGCACAACACACGGATATGGGTATCACGATTTTAACTGTAACGTAGGGATAAAAGCAGACGAATTCGTTCCGCGGTCGAGCCCACTACTGTATATGCGCGAAAACTTGTAATATGTAGTTAAACTTGTAATGCCCGACGAGCCTGTCCGTCGTGTATATAATTTATTATTTACCGCGACACGCAATGTATTTCCACAATTGAAGCAATGACTGAGCGCTTAGTCGCCGTTGTCTCTCGAGTACTAGACTAGATTATAATGTCGACGCGATTGGGTGTAGTACACGTCTTGTCAATTCGAGCGCGAGCGTCTATGCTACTATTCGCCGTACAAAATTACCGTAAATAAACATTAGGTGTTGGTAAGAATACACGATGTCGTCCAGCAATAAGGAGCACACAGACACACACACAATAGCGTAACGTATACGTTACAGGCTCGAGCAATGGATACACATTCGTATAACGTTTAAGTACGGTACAGATAACTCGGGCCGCACGAACCTTGATTGGCTTCAATCGCTCGCCTCTCCGTGGTCCACTGTCGTTCGTATAAATATAAGTATATTTTTGGAATATATATTTTGCGCGGATGACTCCGCTCCACCTATAAGTAACTAGAGTGTACGTTGTGTATGTATATGTATCGGTGCTCTCTGTGTCGCTCTCAAGCACGATCGCGCACACATACACATCTATATAAGAGATACAAGTAAGCGCGCGCGCGCGCGCAGAGCAATGTGACTAAGAATATGTAAAATTTTATGCGAATGGAGCAACGACGAGGCAAGAAGCGCCTGCTGTATGGGGGCTGGAATAGATATTTGTCAACTGGCGGCGAGTTTATGTATATATACGAGAAATAAATCTATGCCTCTATATATACAGGCGCGATAGGTATATAGGCCCATTGATGCGAACACGTGCATTCGAGCCTGCAAATCGTACACATACCTGTATGTTTGTTTGCTTTGACACCTCGTGTCGACGACAATAACATTGCTGCGTTCGTACGAGAAATGGGAAAAAATGGGCAAATATACCTTCTCTGAATTACATTATTAACTTGTCTTTTTCAGCCCAAAAAACGACCCTCTCAAATTTTATTTCATTTGTATTTTACGCCAATGAATTAGATTGTATTGAAATATTTAGTTATTTTTGAAGACGTTGAAAGTTGTAAGATTATCAAATGAAATCAAGATTTCAATTTTATTGAAAGTCTAGCTAAAACTCTTAAAAAGTAAGATGACTAAGGTAACTAAGGTAACTAAGATCCAAAAATACATTTTCAATACTTTTATTCACAGTATTTAATTTTTGTTTTATAGTAAGAATACACATTCTATATACAAACGTACTTGAACAGAGCTTAACTAATTATTATTTACAAAATGACGTTTGAGCAGAATAACTATTTGCTCATAAAATTTGCCATTGGATCTTCCTCGCGCATACGTTTCATTTGATAAGCTTCTTTTTCTTCTTCGGTCAACTCTTTCACACTGTACATACTATTGTAAGGTCTTTTTCTTTCGTCTAATTTCAACAACTCCTCTGCAGCTTTAATATTTTTTTCTTCTTTCTCAATAGCTTCTGCGAGCTTATCTTTATGCTTGGATTTATTCTTTTTCTTTTCCTTCTGCTTTCGTTTTTTATTTTTTCTCTTACTTTTCTGAGATTTTTTCTCTGTTACTGTTCTCTTATCATCCGAAGATTCACTGGATGATTCTTTGTCAGATGACTCGTCAGCTGATTTTTCTTTTTGTTCGCTGGTTGGTTCCAATTTTTCAACTTCTTTTTGCGCCTTTTCTTCTTGAGCATTATTTGAACTAGTAAGTTGGGCTGCTGCTGCAGCTGCTTCCTTTCCCGCAGCGCCACAGCAGTAAGAGTTTTTTATAAATGCATAACAACATTTATATCCCCACTTGCCAGCGTGCCAGTATGAGCCCCAAACAGAGGTATGATTATTAGTATAAACATCTTCTTCATACCTTGATCTAATGACAGACTTTTCTTGTCCTTTTATAATCTGTAATGTAATATAAAATTTAATTAATTGAATGAGTTGAATTCATATTTTTTATTCATTTAAAAAAAAAAGTATTCAAAACTTACATTTCCTGTACGTGAATACTCCACATACTCTTCAGTTTGTGCCAGTAAAAGTTCCCGTGGTGGTGCATCAAGATGTTCTTTACCTCCATATGTGTCAATTATACTATGCCGAGCTTCATTCTTAAGCTCATCTTTATTCTTGTCGTACTCTTTTTTAAGAAGTTCAATTTTAGTTGGCTCAGCTAACAAATGCACATTAATTCCTTTTTCAGACGCATCCCAGGAAAATATTTGAGCTTTTGCATGTTCTGCTGTATCTCCAGAAAATCGTGCAGCATTTTCTCCTTTGTAATCCACTCTAAAAAATAAAAAATGAATTATTCATTATGATCTATTGAATGATAAAAAACTTGTAAGTAAGAATTAAATCCACATACTCTCTGTCAGTTCCAGCATATGGATTATCACGCATAGATCGAGTTTTTGGATCGTAGTAAGCTGAATTAGGATCCAAGTTTCTGAGATACTTAGCTGTATCTTCTCGTATACGCAAATTCCTAACTGTGATTCTTTGCTTGCTGTCAACTTTTGTTCCGGGCATGTCCACCTCATCCACGTATTTATCTTCATCTTCATCAGAATCATCTTCTTCTTTCTCTTCCTCGTCTTTTGAATTTAGCTTCTCAGCTTTCATCTTCTTCTTTTCTTCTTCAACTTGACGGAATTCTTCTATTATAGACTGATGTTCTGAAGGATCATATCCTGCCCATCTATCTCTTTTACCGTCATAATCGAGGGCTAGATTAGGTTGATTATACTCATCCGGAGCAATGTTTGTGTTAGAATATTTGGCAATGACTTTTCTTGGCCTTTCAAAACAATCTTTTCTCTTGTGTCCCATGGCACCACAATTTTCGCAAGCACCTTTGCGATACTTATTGGCAACCTTATTTGATTGTCCCCTGTTATACCATTGATCAAGACGGCTAAATTCTTTTTGTTTTTCTGGTTGAGGTCTCTGATGCTTCAAAGTAGGGCCCTAAAGTAAATAAAGCAAGTACATAAGTAAAAATGTTGAATGTTTGAGAACTGATGAAATTAGCAATAACGCAGATATAATGTACATACCGATGCACCGAAGTACCATGGCGTGGAGCTTATATATTGCGGGATGTGAGGATTGATATCTCGGCCCTCCTCGTCGACAGCTGCTGGAGCTGTACCGGCTTTTCTAGCTTCCTCGAGTTCTTTTGCTTTACGCCAATCTTCGCGACTTTTTTTGCGAGGCTCGTCTTCCTCCACTGCACTGGCGGCACTTGCATTCTTCAGAATCAGCGAGACTGGCGTACCCGAAGAATGACTAGCCATTTTATTCAAGAGATTGAATTAGTCCTATTATTTATGGATATTCAATGAATAATTGTCACGAAAAAATGCAAATGTATGCCTCAAAAGATCACAACACTGCACCTCTCGCACTATTAAAAAATAAGGTTAAGTCTTAATTTTGTTTGGTACGTCAAATGTGTGTACAGTGAAACTGTTATGATGAGTGCACTGACTGAGTATATAGCCAGACAATAACGATCGTCGAGAAGAGTCGCGCGCATGTCAGAGCAAAAGTGAAATAGCGGTAAAATTTGATTGATTTCTCTCAATTGAATTTTTCAATGTTCAGTGATCCTTTTTGTAAAAAGTTTATTTATTTCTTGAGTAAATAAAGTTTGTTACAATTTAGATTATAAACTCATTCCCAAAATGTGCTAGGCGTTTAGTTATTCACCCAAGTGAAATCGAACACACGTTCATCTCGAAAATCAATCGACAGATGGCGTATTGCGGAAAATCGGCACCCGCAAGCGACAAAGTGACGCTATAAAAGGTATAAATACTCCTATATAAGGTATATCTTTTTTTGTATACTGTCTTTGCAGACATCTACTTCCCTGCGGGCTACTCATCAATAACTGCGTATTTATTAAAGCTCACCGAGATGTGCCAATCCTTAACATAACGAATCTTAGAGACTTATATAGACAGAAATATCTGTGAAATATGCAGAAAAACAAAATGTGCACAGAGCGTTAAAATTAAAAGCCGCAAAGACGCGCAAGTCTATTTCTCAGCAACGAGTAAAGCATATTTCCACTATTAGCGACATAACAATCAGCCCATGTGTCAGCTCTCTTGCCCCAAAAACAAATTTTTGGTGCAGATAAAGTGATATATGACAAGCAAGAGCCGGGATCGGTTCCTTTATCAAAAATATCGCTCAACTATGTGCTTAACTGCCTTGGCAGGTAGTCAGCGAAGGGATTCAAAATTATTCTATTTCACGAGTCGCGATAATGATTTAAATTATATTTACGAATTTTCGAATGACACATCACTGCAAATCGAATCGTAAAGTATAAAGAGATAAGGCGTTTGAAAATTGTCAATATTATTTTGTACAATTTTGATATTTACGGAATATAACAAAACATTATTAAGCACTGTTTTATTAATTTTATTGCCCGTAAAAGAAATGTTTCGTTAAATATAATTACTGACGGAAATATGAATATTTTGACGAATAATATTAACTAAAAACGTTTTCACCAAATGCTGTTCGTTCTTAATAACGACGTAAAATTAAACTGTCCATAAGGCAAAGAAAGTTATCATATCGTTTACGTTTTTCTTTCTTTTTTTTTTTTTTAGTTCTATTCAAAATTACTCAAAAGAGATCTATCGTGGCTATTCTTTCCACTTTTATTTTTATAGTTTTCTTGCTGACAAGGAAAAAAAATAAAATTATCATCAACGCGTTCCCGTTTCGTGACTATCCTCCAGTTGGTCTGCATAAATAAAGAACAATGTCATCCGCTCTCTAATTTATTAACTCTTCAAACTCTTTTTTTTTTTAACGCTTTGCATATCGCGGCCAACAAACATTGTATTTATCTCGAGTCAACTCAAAATTTTGCCAGATCGGTCGCAGAGCTGTAAAAAACAGAGACGACTTTTTTCTTCTTCTTTCCCAAAAAACAGGGCGTTATAAAACGTATATAAAAGTGCGAATTACCTTTATTCGGAGAGAGTATCGAGCGAGAAGCGAATTACATTATCGTTTCAATCATGTGCAAGTACAGTTTATCAATATTCTTAAAAGTACTCATCCTCGTAGCGTCGATTAGTCGTCGCGTCGACGGTCAAGTCTCTATCAGAAAAGTGACAGCCGCCGTCGAGCTCGCCGAGGGCCCGCACTGGGATTACAAAAGCCAATCCCTGTACTACGTCAATATACTGGGCAAACAGATTCTCCGGCTCGATCCGCTGACGGGACGAGTGAATCGGGTCACCTTCCCGGGCGACCAACTCATCAGCTTCGTGATTCCCGTCCAAGGCAGGAGAAGCCAACTGATCGTCGGTCGTGGTCTGGACGTCGTCCTGCTGGATTGGGACGGCCGGGAGGACGTCACGGAGCCCAGCTACGAGGTCGTGGCTTCACTAGTGGATCGCGACGCCGATCCCGCGCGTCAGAGAATCAACGACGCCAAGTGCGATCCTCGGGGTCGACTGCTGCTCGGCACGATGGCCCTGAAATCGGCCGAGGGCAGCGTCGAGCCGAATCGCGGGGCCCTCTATAAAATCGGCGGCCGCAGACTGCAGGTGGAACGATTGTTGTCGCCGGTGACGATAAGCAACGGCCTGGCCTGGAACGCCCGCGGCAACGTCCTCTACTACATCGACTCGGCGAGCTATCAGGTCTGGGCGCTGGACTATCGACTGGCCACCGGTCGGCTCCAGGCGGCCGACAAAAAACGGGTAATCATCGACCTCAAGGTAGCCGGGATCGAGGGTATGCCCGACGGCATGACCATCGACGACGAGGGCAATCTCTGGATCGCCGTGTTCGGCGGTGGCTGCGTGCTAAACGTGGATCCGCGTGCCAAGAAGCTGCTGCGAAAGATCGACCTGCCCGTGCCCCAGGTGACGAGCGTAGCCTTCGGCGGGCCCCACCTCGACGTCCTCTACGTGACGACGGCTCGCGAGGATCTGACCGAGGCACAGCTGCTGGAGAAGCCCGATTCCGGGAGCGTCTACGCGATCACGGGACTCGGTGTGCGCGGACGTGTCGCCAGTGATTTTTCTTTAAATTAGATTCAGTGAGCAACGAACGAATGCGATTGGCTTTAGTTCACATTCTTGAAACAAGTAGGCCCTTTCCGAATCGATACAGTATAAGTACGAGTAAATCGTAAAAGTCGAGCAGTCTTACCGCGCGGACGGACGCGATGTTTTTTGGCACTTATCCAGAGCCATTATTCGCTACATAATTTAAAACGAGCTCGAGCAAATTTTTTCTTACAAGAGGTTTACGTTACACACACTTACGAAAAAAAAAAAAAAACGATCGCGCTCGTAAAAAAAAAAAAGTAGCGGAGGAGTAGTAACATCTTGCCAACTACACGCGGGGGGGTTGATTCGCCGCATCGCATGTTACACACACACACACACACACACACAGTTTTCGAGTGCCTATATTCGCCGCGTGTATGAATTAGTTGAAGAAATAAAATTCTCCCCGCTTGTTCGAGTTCGTACCACTTGCGCATGTAATATGTAAGAAGATAAATTGGAAGGACACGAGCAAAAAAAAAACACGTGTTCGTCCGCATCGATATCTGTGTCATTTCGGAGTTTTAAAAATAATAATAATAAAGGAGTTGATATGAAAGACAGTAAAACGCACTTGCTCTTTAAAGTATAAAATTTATTGCGTGCTTAAATATATTATATTTGTAATAATATATTTATAAGAATTTACAAAGTATGTATACTGTTTATTTTTATTTAAATACTGTAAATACTTTGTGCTCGGTTCTCTTCTACGTTCGCAGATGATATGGAAAAATGCATAAAATTTCAGCTAATATTGTATATATAATTAATTAATTAATCTTGCATTACGTTCTCTTCTACAGTTCGTAATTATTTTTTTTTTTTTTAATAATTCATTATATAATATGATATATAATAATATGCCTTGACTATAAAAATGTAAAAAGTTTTATCTAAAAAACGAATTCTCTTCTATCTACAATAGCTATCATCTAGTTATTTAATTATTCATGTATCATTAAATATTCTAAAATTATTACAAAGCCTGTAAAGATGTAAAAATATCAAAAAATTGCAATACGCAGTATATATAGACTTTTTTTCGTTTTCGTCATTTAATAATTACCTTTTTTTTTTAATAATTGTATATATTTATAATATATAATATGCTTAAAAAGAACAAATCACAGCTTAAATGGCTTATGAACCTACGCAATATATCGATTTTTTTACGTAATACGTATTATTTTTTCTCGAAATCTTCAACTAACAAACGGTCTCGTTATATCAATTATATGCTCGTTACAATCAGCTATGTATATATTGTATGTAATAAAATTAGCAAATGTCGTTTATCGATAAACTGCTCTGCTCTACAAAAAACGTGTGTGATTGGTAATACGAAACTACTTCGTTAATCAAAACGACTATTAAGTATGTATAATAAGTGTATATCGAATGGAAAGGTTTCTTGTATATAATATTGTACGTATCGAATCGAGCTACGGCAAATGATCAATGCAACTTTTGGTTATAATTCATACTTTATGAGTACGCATACGCTCTAAAAAAAACAACCAATATAAGCATCGTGTGTAATATCTCTCTGTCTCGTCTATGATTCGCATAATTAGTTATGCGCTGTACTAAACGTGCTTAAAAACAGAAAACAAAAAAAAAAAGAACCAATTAATTACCTAATTAGTTTCGAGTCATCGATATCAAAATTTAAGCGTCTGGAGATCGTGCACGGCGGGCAGGCAGAAGATCTTCTGGAGATTCTTGTAGGTCCTCGGGCCCGTGAGAAAGAGGGCGAGACACTGCTTCTTGAACTCGAGCGAGTACTGCTTGTCCTGGCTGATCTTCTCCTGGTCGAACAGCTGGGCCTGGGTCTTGATGAAGTCCGAGGTCTCCTTGGGGAAGAAGCGCTCCGTCAGGGACTTGTACTGCTCGAGGGTGACGTGCTCCATGAGCTCGACCAGATTCTGCTTGAGCAGCTTGCTCTTGAGGCTCTTGATCTCGCAGCGCTTCACCTGCAGTATGCGCTTGAGCTTCCTCTTGTTGGCCCTGTCCCTGCTGCTAACGATGCTACTACCCCTTGGCTCGTGGAAGCTCGGCGATGACGGCTCCTTCTTATCGTCATTATCGTCGTCGTTTTCGGTTTGGCTAACTTTGTCTAATTTATTATTATCGCTAGGTAAGAGGTGATAAGCGTTGGTTTGGGTGCAGGCTTCTCCGGTGGATTTGTTACCTTGGCTGGCGTTCGAGGACGACGACGAGGCGGTGCTCGCTGCCTCGAGGCAGGCCGCGGCGACTACGACATCCACGTCGTCGACCACGACGCTCGTCTGCAACGACGGCTGAAACGACTCGAGGGAATTGCTGAGCTCCGAGGACGAGTCCTCGTCCACCTCCTCGTCGTCGTCCTCCTGGCCCTCGAGGATGGTGTCGGGCAGCCGATCGACGTCGTCCAGGCCCACCACGCGGCTCATGGAGAAGCCGCGCAGATCGTCGTCGTCGTCGCCGTTGCCGCAGATCTCGATGGGAGCGATGAGCGAGGAGAGCGGCTGCAGCGACGAGCAGCCCATCAGATCCTGATAGCTCAGGCCCTCGATGGAGAAGCTGCTCGAGGACGGATCGACGAGGATGTCCTTGATGCCGTAGCAGCTGCTGCTGCTGTCCACCGCGTTGTTGGTCAATTGTGGCTCGTTGCAATTGGCCGCCGCCGCCGTCGAGCTGTACACGTGGTCGGCGGTGGACAGGCTGCAGTCGCCGTTGCCGCTGCTGCTCCGTAAATAATCCTCCACCGTCGTCGCGGTCGAGTCGTCGTTCGTCGTGGCTCGGATATTGTGGTTGGTGGGTTCCGAGGAGGAGGATGGCTCCTTGATGCAGATCCCGGTCGCCTTGAAGAACTCGTCGGCCGAGATTTTTTCTGTCGATTGCATATGTTTTTTTTTATCGCCGACAAAAAACAACGCTTTTTTAAACTTTTATAAACTTGAATGAAAGCTCAGATTTTGGACACATAAAAATTTATTAAAGTTTATAAAAGTGCATAAAAGCGTTTAAATTGTTGAAATTTCTAGTTAGATGAAACTTTAAAAAAATTATATCATTGTTATGAAATTTTATAAACTTATATAAAATCTTTAAAATATTTTCAATTCAAATTCAATAATTTCTGAAGTTTTCGGACAAAGGCTTTAAAAAAATTTTTAAATTTTCTAAAACCGAAATAAATGATCGCATATATAGGAGATCGAGGGGGAAAAAAAAAACAAACGAAAACGAAAACTCACGGAAAACGCAATTGCTAAGAATCTTGGCGACGGAGTCGTGGCTGCAGTCGGCCAGCTGTATCTGGGCCTCGTCCACGATGTCGAAGTCATTGTTGGCAGTGGCGGTGTTGCAGGTAACGAGCTGAGTTGTTGCCGCCGTCGTGCCAGCTACAACGATTTGCTGCTGCTGCTGACTATTGGTCGTCTCGTTATTATTGCCGACGAGCTGCTGCTGTATCTGGTCGGTTGGCTGCTGCTGGGAGAAGTGCGTCGGCACCGAGTTGGGCTGCAGTCGGTTGCGCAGATCGTTGAGAAACATCGAGTCGGTGAAGTGCTTGGCGCACACCCGGTAGCTGTTGAACAGCTCGATCGGCGTCTTCTCCAGCAGGTCATTGCGATTGCAGGCTCTGACCCACTGCTTGGATCTGCAAACTCGAAATTAATTAATTATAATTACATTGCATTTTAGTGCGCGCCAAGCTTGCATATAGACATACAGGTATATATGCCGTAGAGCTTTAAGCTTATAGCTCCGGAGCTATTATATAGAGCCGAGGTATTTGGAGTGTGGCGGCGCGCGGCGGGCCTCGAGTTTGATCATTAACGCGTTTATATGCACCATTATATATAGGAGTACCTCTACGTACACAAGCGTATGCTATACTGCAGGGGTCGTATGTGCGGTGGGGGTGCGCGGCAGCAATCGAGGATATATAACGTCTCGTGTGTCGTACCATGCAATACATTACGCGAGTAAGGTATATATATATGTATATAGTATAGTAGTGTCGCTCACCTCTCGGGGTCTTTGGGAAAGCGAAAGAAGCTGCGCTTGTCTCGCCTCGACAGGCCGCGGCAATTCTTAAAGGCGCAATAGTAGCCGCCTTTCTTGCTCATCTCGTTCTGGATGTGCGGCAGCCGTGGACGACGATCGCCTGCGGCACATCACCGTAGGTAGGTCCCTGTGTATACGATCCTGATTTTCCTTTCTATTTTTTTTGTTTTTTTGGTCGAGCTGTGCAGCACACCAACCCCGCGTATTATTTACTTTTTATTTGATTTTTTTTTTCTCCCCTCAGCAGCAGCAGCAGCAGTAGCGGCACGTGATAACTATGTATAATAAACCCTTTCTCGAGTGCGACGCACTCGCGGTGACCCGACGACGTCCCGATCTGCACTGCAGCAACGAAACTGCATCGTGCGAACTCTGTCTCTGTCTCTCTCTCTCTCTCTGCGCGCGGTCAACGTCTCTCTCTCTCTCACTCTTTCGCTCGGCCTCCCTTCGAAAATTGGATTTTCCCCGAGCGCAAGCGCAACCTCTTCTCTCTCTCTCTCGCTCTCTGTCTGCATAAAGTCTCTGCCTCTGTCTGTGTGTGTACAGAGAGTGCCCTATGCCCTCTCCGCGCGATTTCCACCCTCGAGTGTGAGCGCACAGACACACACACACACCCACGCGGGCAAAGGCAGCAAAGCACACGACGACGGCACCCCATCAATCAAGTCCTCCACTCGGCGGCGTAACACTGCACGCCATCGTCGTGCTGCACTGCTATGCTGTGCTACGCTGTATATATATTACGTATATACACAAAAACGTGTATATATGCAGTGCGTCGCGTGCGCGGGGGTGCATGTAACACTGCTGCACACATACACACACACACACATGTAGATATTATGCCGAGTCGAGCTCGAGGCTTATATAGAACTTTGACCCCAACGTTCGAGCCCGCAGCTATAATAATACAGGATATCTCTTCCCACGCACCCCCGCGTACAATGTATTATAATAAAGTCAAGTTATATCAAATTTCGAATTTTTAAGTACCTAAATTCTACGGATCGATCGAGCGAAAGATTTTCGATCGAAATTTCAATTAGCGTGCCGTTCGAATTTCGCGCGCCATTGGAGCCGTGTCGATCGCGCGCATGAATTGACTCTCATTGCCCCCACCCACACGGCACAAACTCCACGATTTCGTTCCGAGCTCGTGTCTACCGGCCGTCGTCAGCAAAGCAGGCAAACCAACAATCCTGCCGCATTTTATTGAAACATTAAGTTGTTGTACACTCAAATTAACCGAAACCCCGTTATTTAGTTAGCCAAGATTGCAAGAAATATGGCAGGAAGAAATCAGCAACGCCGAGGAGTCGTGCCCGAGATGGAGTCGGCACGCATCGACTACGTCCAGTGCGACGGTTTGGTGGTTATGAAGATGCTCAAGCACTGTCACGAAGAGAACTCCAACAACATGGACGTGGCCCAGGGCGCCCTGCTGGGGCTCAACGTCAACGGCTGCCTCGAGATCACCAACTGCTTTCCCTTCTGCAAGAACGACGACGTCAACGACGAGGAGGATTATCAGCTCAGCATGATGCGTAGACTCAGGGTGTAAGTAGATATACATTCACTGCACTTCATTGATTCTCACTGATGTTTTCATTTATCGTTGGCAAAATAATACAACCAAGCTTGTTTGACAATTTTACAGGGTCAACGTTGATCATTTCCATGTTGGATGGTATCAGAGCGCTGACGTTGGTAACTTCCTGAGCTTGCCTCTGCTGGAATCCCAGTATCACTACCAGACAGCCATCGAGGAGTCCGTTGTCATTATTTATGACACAGCCAAGTCTGCCAGAGGTTTCTTGACCCTCAAAGCATATCGATTGACTCCACAAGCCATTCAGATGTACAAAGATGGAGAATTCACACCGGAGGCTCTGAAGAACTTGAAAATTGGTTACGAGAACCTGTTTGTCGAACTGCCAATTGTTGTGAAAAATAGCCCTCTGACAAATATTGCCATCGCCGAGCTCGATGAGATGGTTCCCGAGGAACAGGGCACCAAGTATTTGGATTTGGGAACCGCCAGTGTGTTGGAAAACCAATTGCGCTGTATGATGGATAGAGTCGATGAGTTGAACCAGGAAGCCATTAAATTCAACCGTTACCAGAATCTGGTGATCCGTCAACAACAGGACAAAAACAGATTATTGCAAAAGAGAGCTCAAGAAAATGCTGCTCGTGCTGCTAAGGACGAGCCACCACTACCAGAGGAAGACATCAACAAGCTAATTAGACCCATTCCTGTGCCACTCAGACTCAATCCTATGATTACTGCTGGTCAAATCAATACATACAGCCAACACATCTCCCAGTTCTGCTCTCAAAGCTTAGCTAAATTGTACATAACTCAAAGTCTTCAAAATGCTAAGGAAAACGCAAAATCTTCGCGATAAAAAATATGTTTATTTTTTATATGAAAAGAGTATTGAATACTGAATCATAAAATATTTATAATTGTATGTTGAAATAGTTCAATTCTATACTATCATGAAATAAATTTTTCAATGGAATCTTTAAATGTCTCAACATCTTAATTTATTAATGATCCTCAAATGATTAGTAATTAAGATTATATTATATCTAATTTTTAATTACAATGTCTAAATGATATTACCATTTGGATAATTTGAAGATAAAAAAAATAATTGTAATTTTTTTCATCAACCAAGTTCAATAATATTCTTCATAAAATTGAGTTAAACTTGATTTCTAATTATATTGAATAAGCTTCTAGATCATACATTAAAAAAGATGATAAAAAAAAAACAATAATTATAAAAATAATTATAATTATTTATTCAAAAATCTCGCGCTTCAATGATGCCAATTGTAACCTTTGTGAAATTGGCCATAATTCGCAGTTGGCAGCAGTGCGATTCCAGGTATTTCAAGCTCTCAGACAAAAGACGCGGGCTTCGAAGGGCCTGTTGTTTCGTGTTTTATTCGTTGCCAGATAAAGAATTTAGCTTTGCTAAATATCAATTTTGCCTATCAAAATGAATTACGATGATAAGCATAGAAAATTTTTGCAATATCTGATGCAAGCCGGTGTGGTACTCGACAGCGAAGCAGCCGCAGTTGCCATGCAAATCTTTGGTAAGTACTTCATTGTGTACTGATCGACGATTTATTTGTTTATTTGTTGGATTAGTAAAAAACTATCGAGTGTCAACTTGCTTCATCTGAATTTACTTGAAACTCATTAAAATTATAATTGTTTCAGCTGAAAGGATTTCCTTGAAAACAATTCGCAGCCAGATCAATGACAGATTAAATCCACTGGGGATGGACATAAAGGGAGGAGTGTGTGAAATATCTGGTGAAAAATATTGGATGGTTGTAAGTACAACCCTCGAACCATCAGTGAAGTAAGAACATTACGAATTTCATTCTGCAAATTACAAGCGATGAAAATAAACAATTGAAAAATTATTCCCATAGGTTTCCACCAATGTTCAAAGACCCGCAGAATACATACTTAAAGGCTATATTTACTGAAATTATCAGCTCGGAGGATGGCAGTGTTTCAAGTACCGATTGTTTGAATCTTGTAGATAATCTACCAGACACAAAGTTACTGAAACGAGATGCTGATATATTCCTAAAAGAAATGTACAAGATGGGCTATTTATGCTACAGGGTGCGTTACCTAAAAATCACTTACAAAATCTCTATTTTGTCCATTTTTAAGTACTTATTTTATTCTAAACATTATTTCAGGAAGGATTTGTATTTATGGGAGTTAAAAGTATAGTGGAACTACAGCCTTATTTCAAAGCTACTTATCAAGACAATTTTTATACTTGTCTTTTGTGTAAAGATATTCTATTTCATGTAGGTTACTAACTCAATGTCAATTGTTTTTTTTTCTTTTTTTTATCCATTTCATAAAACAAAAACATAAATGTAATTCTTAATAATAACTAAATTATTTTCTAATTTTAGGGTCAAAAATGTAATAATTGTGAAAAAATAATTCACTATCATTGTATGACAAAATATGTGAGCCTCAGAAAAGTTCAAAATTGTCCTAATTGCAATGAACCTATGAAGGCATTTGACGTACCAGGTATCTAGAATTATTAATATTAGGCTTTCTTTGAAGTTCTTGGAAGACCTTCATGAATCTACTTCATGACTATTTTTTTAGCCGAAGCTTTAAATGCCTCTACCCATTCATCTCAAGAGGATGATGAACCGATGGAAGTCACAGAAGGATCAATTGAAGAAGCTCCCGAAGAAGCTCCTGAACAAGTTGCTGAAGATACTGCTGAAGAAGCTCAGGAAGAAGCATCTGATTCTTCTCCAGAAATAAGGATGAAAAGGCGATCGAAACGAAGTCGAAGAATTTAGAAAAGGTAAAAATTTTAATATTTTTTATTACAACTTTTATTCAAAAAATACTCATATATATCAGTTTAACTATACCAAACATACGTAATTTTTAAAGTTCTTGACAAATTAAAATAATAATTAAAATAATAATACAGTATGTTTTTGTCCAGATTTTGGAACTTACATTCTCACCATTCAAGGATACCAGGTATATATTTCTCAATGAGACTTTCATAATAAGGCCAGAGTTTCTCAATATCAGGGATATCAGCACTTTTTGTATATAAGTCGTATTTACTGTAACAAACCAAAAACATGGAATTAAGACTTTTTAATTTTTAATAGGTAAAATTAGAATCTTGAAAAATTGACTTGACTTGAAAAAATTTATTAATTTTATCGATTTCGGACAATTTAAGTAGTTTTAATGATCAAATGTTATTTTAAAAATTGAAAATTGTGATTTACTTACTTAAACTTTAAAATCCAATTCAACATATCCAGATCGTGATCTGTACAAAAATGCATATAGTCATGCCCTGCGTGCCATGGATAAAATGAGTGATAACGTATCATAGCTAATCCTTCCTTCGGTAAAGTAGATTTATTGTGCTTTAAAACATGATAAAGATATTCATCGTGTCCCCAAGACATGAGCAAATTGCTAAGACCGCACTTTGGTTTGTACATTCCATATTTTGTACTAAAAACATTAATAATATTATAGTTAGTTATGTTGTTACATAGTTTAGAGTTATATTTGTATTATAAAAATATAATAAAGTATATTTTTCTAAACCTGAATAAGTATGCAACTTACTTGTATTTTGGATTAGCTCCGTCGGGATTGTTTTCGAAACTCGTTTCTCTGTAAACGATGGAATCAGCCCAGGCGCAGCCAACTGGAAAGGTGTCACCGACTACCGCCCACTGAGGCTCGCCGTAGAAAGCCATTATCTGAACGAGACAGGAAAAATTCTAAGTTCATCGTACAATCTGAAAATCGCAATGATATGTACCTTGCCCAGGTCGTGAATCAGTCCAGTGAGATGAAACCAGTCGTCGTTCGGATGATCGGCTCTGATTTTTTCCGCCGTTTGAAACGCGTGAACGATGTTCGGCAGATCCGAATCCGGATCGCTCTCGTCGACCAATTCATTTAGTTTGATTAAAGCTTCCTTCACGGTCATTTTACACTTGTCGAATTTCAACCATTTTTCCATTCGAGCTGAAATTGCGCATGAAGTCAAGAAGACATCAACAGAATTCAGAAGAGCGCGATCGAGATCTTTCGTACTTACATTTGACGAAATCGACGGTTTGATGGGTGTGCATGTTCAAGTAGGTCTTGCGAACCCTCTCCTTGATCGGATCGTCCGAATCCTCGGTATAATCGCGGAACTGGCTCTCCAACTTTCCATTGTACACGCTCTCGGGTCGAAGCTTTTCCGATGGATCGAAAATCGTATGGCTCACCGACGATTGCTGGACATCGAAGAAGAATAACGTTTCTAATTTTAGATCGTGATATTGATATTATAAATAAATTTAATTAAGGAAACTCGAGAGACTCTCAAACCGATCGAGGAAAAGTACCCCTCATCGCGTGATTCGAGCGCTCGCACACGCTTTTTGCACAATAGTATGATTCTAATAAACAAACGATAAGACGCGCGACTCGACGCACGCGTGCCGGAATACGACGACGACGAAATCGGTTTCTCTCGCGATATACGTCGGTGCTCGACTTACGGCCACTTTAGTTGCCATGATGATGATTCTCTCTTTTGCTGTACGATGCTGTACGACCGACACAACTCACTAGTGCGAAATACTTTGACAAACTGCAAGTTCAAAAGTCAGCGAGACAAGTTTATAAAGGCGCGCGCGAGCCGCCGATTTATCGCATCGCAACCCCCGATCGATTTATATATACATTCGACTCTGTGTGTGTGTGTGTGCGTACGTGTGTTTTATTACGAGCGCGATTGAAAAGATCGTATCGGTATATCATCGCGTGCAGCAGCACAGATGCCCCTCTGTATCGCGATTAGGATGATTCAAAAAAAAATTCTTTGATCTCTCCATTCATCGCTCGTTGCGCGTATTTATTTACCGCCGTGCGCGCGAGTTAGTTACATCACTTTGATTACTGTTTTTCAAGACATTCATTTTCAAGTTCAATTTTTGACGATGGCGATGGAAATCTCGATTAAAATTTGGAAACGATCGATAATGGTATTAATTTTCATTGAAATCTAATGTTCGCTTTTGTGTACGTGTAGCGCGATCGAGACGAGCTTGTCAAAGAAATGATGCAACTCAATGCTTGCCCTTGAATAGGAGGATGATAAAAAATAATTTGGCACGTGACCGCGATGAACGAGGCTATTTAGATGCGATACCGAAATTCGCTAAGGTCAGAACAGAGACTCATTTATGTGTATAATAGTAGCGAAAACTCGTGACATGTTCAGAGGGAATTTTTCCACTCGATCTGTCACCCGCACACAGCGAGCTTTTGAACTTTTTTTTTTCGCGTCTTCATCTTTACGATTCTAATGCATCGATTTTGCATGCATATAATTCTTGAAACGAGAGGAGCAACAAGGAAACAATTTTATCTTCCGAAAATAGTGAAACAGTTCATAAATCGACGATTACCACATCAATAATTATGGTTGTTTATGTACAAGTTCGAAAGAATAATTTGCTCGATATGTATTGAAGAAATTCGATTTTTTCAATTAGCGGAAAAAAGTGAGACTAAGCTGGTTTACTCGATAGTTGAAAATAAAAAAAAACAAGTAGAAGCTTTCCTTCACTAAGTGCATCGTCATGTTTCACCATGACGTAAATGTCGCTTTCCTATCGACAATCACTTATCGGCTGTTTTGGTGCGTCGATTTATGATTAATTAGAAATGTAGCATTAAAATCATGTTCTATTAAAATCAAATAATTTAAATAATTTTAAGTTGATAATTGTTACACCGACGAATAATCAGTTCAAGTTTTCACTTATTGCCTACTTGTGAAAAAAGTTTAGCATAATTTAAATTATCACCTTTTTTTCTTGGTCCCTTCGAGAATCAATTACGAAAGAGCCATGTAACTCTAAAAAATCACTTGGAGTTTTTCACTGTCAGCATGAATCATGGTGATTCCGAAAGCACGTGTGTTGGTTTACATGTATTATTGACAATAAAATACAAATTATGAACAAGATAAGTTAAACCGTATAATTTCTAATAATTTCGTATGGTTTATACGTCATTTTAAAATCAATGCAAACATAGTAACTAAAATTTCATTATACTTTACATTACAGTAGTTACAAGTTAACAAAAAAATGCTGAGATGTATCAACTTCTTCAACTTAATGAAAATTTATTTTTTGTAATAATTTATATTCGCGTAAAAACAGTTGATGCAAAGTCTAACTAGTTTTTTAAAAGAAGTTTAATATTTCAGAGTTTGTCTTGGACAAATTTTATTGATTGGGAAAAATAACAGGAAACTAATATTTTCAAATTTTTTAATTTGAAACGTTATTATTAATATATTCAAATATTCTTAATTACATTTTTGCAATATAAAATTCTCAGAAAAACGATAATTTACAACTATTTTACAGTTTCGTTTATTTACACGAACAAATAACATTACGATGAACTTGCTTCAGACGAGTCATTGCGTTTGCTTCGCTTATGACGTCGAGATGAGTGTTGCTTATGCGGACTCCTGGACCGCGATCGGTGCTTACTGCTGGACGTGGATTTTTTGCTTTTTCGACTTTTGTGAGAGTGAGAATGAGAACTACTGTTGGTTTCTCTGTGTCTGCTGAAATAATCGTTCAATGAATGTTAAACTCAATTCAAAAATAATGACGAAACAAGTTTATGAAAATTTACCTTTTGTGTGATGGTTTTCTTTTGTCGTATTTCTTATGACTTTTGTGTTTATCTGAATGACTGCTACTGCGACTTCGCTTATGACTACTGCTGGTACTAGTACTGCTGCTGCTACTACTGCTGGTACTGCTTGAGCTGCTGCTAGAACTACTGCTGGAACTAATTGAGCGTTTCCTTGCCCTCTCGGTTACTTCGCGTATTTTTGATATAAGCGAAGTGGCAGTCTGTCTGAGCTCCTCAAGATCAGCATCAGCACTGGTAACAACTGGCACTACTGCAGGCTCTGGCTTAGGAATACTTGGTTTGGGCAATGGTTTGGCTGCTTCATTATCTGGCTTGACATCAATTTTTTTTGCTTTAATTTGATTCAGGAATGCAGAAGCTTTTTTCCGTCTTTCTAATTGTAATTGTTTTTCACGTTCAGCGGCTAGTTTCTTTCGAGCTACCATCAATAATCTCTGTTTATTTTTGTCGTCCAATTGCTTATCAGACGATTCCTTCTTACTCTCCTCTGCACTGTCATTAGTCAGATCAACAAAATCTCCGTCCACAATTTGCGTTATAGGTTGCACACTCGAGTCTTTAGGAATTTTACTTTTTTCTTGGTGAGGTTTGGATTCTTTTACAGATATCACATCTTTAGTCTGTTTTACATCCTGGCACTTGATAGTATTGTAAGTTTTAGAAGATTTTGAAAGTTTAGTTTCTCTGGAGTCATTCGAAGATCGAGTGTCAATTGGGTTTCGAGAAGATCGACTATCTCGATGCTCTTTTTCTGGGCGTTTTGATAACTCTTTTTCTGAGCGTTTTGATGATTCTTTTTCTGAGCGTTTTGACAACTCTTTTTCTGGGCGCTTTGATAAGTCTTTCTCAATCCTTTTATTGTTAATATTATTTGTAGTAGAAGTAGGTGAAGTAGATTTAGAACGCGTGTGTTTTTTCTCGTCAGTTACTTCTTCGTCGCTTTCTTCGACTGGAAGAGCATTTCGTTTTTCAATTACACTAGTATCACCTTCCTTAGGCTTTTTGATAGAAAATGAAACAGGCATTATTTGCTTTTCAGTACTTTCTTCGGAACCATTATCACTCTTCTTCTTTTCTTGAATCATTTTAATTCTTTTTTGAACTTCTTCCATGCGCTTTTGTTTTTTGTGTATTTCTTCGAGCTTTTTCTGTTTTTCTTCTTGAGTTTCTTGTTTTTGTAACAATTCTTCATCTGTAAGTACTCGAGAATTAGCACCACCTTCGTAAATAACAAGTTTATGGGCATAATAACCATAGTATTGATGCGATAACTCTAGAAAATTGAAACGTGGGTCGCCTTTGTTTTTAACGATAGTTTCAAAGTCTCGACCATTTTTGGCTACATAACTAGCCATTTTATCAATAATTATTTGTACATCAGCTGGAGGTACAATGAAAGAAGGCCTATTGAGTGGTTTCGGGGGCGTGGGACCATAAGGTACCAACGGCGTTGGTTCTTTTTGCGGTGTTTGAGCGATTACTGGAGGTTTAACAATTGGAGTCGTGCTTGGTGGCAAAGGAACTGGAAGAGGCGGAGCAGGAGCTCCATTTGCACCATAAAGCACTGGGCCATGAGTATACTGCTGTGGTAGTGGAGGATAAGGTGCGTAATTCGGCATTCCATAATAACCATATGGAGGCATTGGAGGCGGTGGGATGACCTCGCCTTGAGGTGGCTGAGGTTGTGGTTGAGAGGGCGACGAAACCCTATTAACAGGAGGAGGTTTTCCAGTGATTTTATTGACCAACATTGAGTATGCACAATCTTTCGATGGTTTGTAATTAATACTGGGTATGCTTGGTGCCTAAAAAACATCAATCATATTATTATTCTTTATGAATTAACTAAAAGTAGAAATCTTGTTATTTTACTTACAGCTTCAACTTTGAGAGATGATGCTAAACTTGGATGAAGATATGTATCATTGTCATCATCATCATCTTCTGATTCTGAATCTTTTTTTTCTGTAGATAAATGAAGAGAATTAAAAAAAATTCCGAAATACATTGAATATTTATCAAATCAAGTATTAAATGGGTCCTTAATTTTTTAAAATTCGTACTTACAGTTAATTAAAAATAAGCAGAATCAAAGGAGCTGCAGATAAGATTTTCCAGTTTTAAACTGAGCTACTTCATTTTGACAACAAGTCATGAAGATAATCGTAACTTGTTTTTTCATTAGATAATGTATATGAGAGAAAAGAATTTATAACTTATTATTCTATTAGTTAAAATATATACATACCAGGTTCTTCTGGTTCAGGCTGTTTTTCTGGATCATATTTGCCCGACCTTATAGCCTCTAATACAAGTTTGTAGTAAGGTTGCAATTCCCCATCAATAGATAGAAAAGAGAATTGTGGATTATTGGCTTGTTTAGCTTTGATAAGAATTTCCATTTGATTTCCTTGTTTGCTTATGAAGAGTGCCGTTTTTACAATAATGGCATTGAGTTTCTGAGTTTCCGGCTGCGAGAGATATTTTAATTAATGTATATTTTAAGAAAAAATTTTTTTAAAGAATTAATTCAAGTTTAGAAATTTGTTTTAGATCACTCACCAATTTTATGTTTTCAGGTAACTCTAGTTCTGGAATAGGCACATAAGGCTCGTCGTCATCCGTAGACCCTTCTGACTGCTTAGGACTTTGAGAATCTTCTTCAATTTTCTTTTCATTATCGTAATTGAATCCTACTTGATTATAAGATCCATCTGAGCCAAGAGCTTGGTGTAACCTTTTTATTTCTTCCTCTAATATCCAAAAAAAATGCATTAATTATTTTCTATTCAATGAGTTCTAAAAATATAGGACAATGTATTAATATTACCATGCTTCAAAGCTTCTTCAGCATCATTATTGTACAAAGATCTGTAACGCTCCTCATCACAAGTTTGCTCAATCCGCATTTCATCCTCAGTTAGAATGGTACGATAATCGAATCCACCAGGTGGAGGCTCATGAGAGCGAAGATCTCCCAAAGCACCTCTTCCATCGTATCTAAGGACATAAGAAAAAACAATTATAATATTTTTCAGAGGTAACAATTATTAAATATTATATATAAATTCAACTCCTGCATCTGAAAATTAAAAAATGTTGAGTAAGATATGTTTTATGAAGAATGAAATTCCCTTATGAATTTTTTTTAACTAAAAACACTGAAACAAATTAGTTAAAAATTTTATGATAATTTATTAAATTTTAAAATTCCAAATTTATATAATGTAAAAAATTAGCTATTGTATCACACTTTATTTGTATAATTCTTTTTTCAACTCTGCATTTATGATTAAAAAGATAAATAGTTTCAATGTTTTTAAAATAATTAAAAATGTTAACAGTAAAAGTTTTGATCATGTATGCAATTGTGCTAAATCCACTACTTTAATCTTAAAACTACAAATTCAAAATTTTTGTAAATAAAATAATAATATTCCTAATTTATAGGTTTATTTGTGTTATAATTGAAAGATTGTTGATGGCCGCAGTGATAAAGATTAAACTAATGTAAATAGCATAATCATAGATTTTAGTATCATCAACTCAGAGTTGAATAATTCTAAAATTCTAATACATACCAGCCAGTAGAATCATTAAATAACCACTGGCTTATGACCTCTCTGTCTATGCTGAGTCTCACCTTGCAGCTGACTCCAATTGAAATCATCTTTTTCTCAGCCAGTTTGTTAGAATTCGCTGCAATCAATTTGACTTTGGACAAGCAGTAGAATATCTGAAAAGCCAACTGGGCCTGCTGATTACACCTGCGAAACAGTCTTCTAGATTTCTTTTACTCGTGCAGCAATGCACGTATCGACGTAAGGAGTTCTAATCAGCGTTAAATGACACCGAGTACTGAGCGAGCCAGATGAGTAATTGACAACTCAAAGAGGTGAAAAAAACAGGTACGTGAACTCTTTCAGTCTGAGTTTATGCCCATGAGAAGAGACGCATTACAAACATTATGGGTGAAACTATAGGCGTGGGCCGAGATAATTCAGGTTACAAGTTACAATAATTGTTTACAATGAGGTGCTCGTGGGATTCAAGTCGAATCAACATACCTATCAATCTTAAGCGAGTTATCGCCCATCCAAGGGATAAGGTGCTTGCCCTGATCAATGGATTTAGCTCGCTCATCGTCGCGGAAGAGTTTACAGCTGTAACCAAAGACTAACAATTCCATGGGCTCTTCATCTCCTCGGTTTTTCCGTAAGATCCCGGATTCCGATGTCCAGCGGTGCATGCTCGACGCCATTTCTTGTTCATGGGTCAAGCAGACGATGTTCAGCGGGTGCGTTCGAGCTTCCCGACGTTAAGGTTAAGTACAACGAGCCGCGTAAATTTTTCTTTTTTTTGTTTGCTCGATTCTCGTGACTTCTGTACAAGAAATTCGACGAGATTTAAAGGTATCTGGTGCACGTTGACAGCTGTGAATTAGGCACTGCGGCTGTAAAACTTTTGACGCCAGACAACTCCAGCTACGAGTTTCGATCTCTATACATGCAACACATTATACAGACCGACTATTTCACTTTTCAGAGTCAAACCATTCGAGCCTCGAGGAGATGGGTAATTGACGGTGTCGCCAGATGCATTTCGTGGCGCGAGTTTGTACTACTGTATGCGGGAGCGATACAAAATATCGTTGTAAAAACTATGATTACAACAGATACAATACTATTGATGAACTAATGAATCGTACGAAATTTTTAAAAATATTCCTGATATATGTTCCAAGAAAAATGTTAGCCGCCAGATACTCTAGAACAGATAATCTAGAACCAATACCAAAATTTATCGAGAAAAACTTTACTCGTATAGACGAAGAAATTCCGGAAACGAAATCACTAATTTAGACATTGAATTATGATGTATATTAACAAAAACAGTATAATTTTAATTTTACCAAAAATACTCAGCTGAATATTTTTGTTGACATTAAAAAGATTACTTGAACTACAATAAATTCACATTCTCTATTTAACGTCAAACTAGTATTGTTGAAAAGAAAATAAACAGTACAAAATGTCACAAATTCAAAAAACATGCAGTCTTATGATTCTTAATTGTGTGTATTCTTTTTCAAACCAGCTTAAAATTATAAAAATCGAGATATCTTATTGAATCATTCAATTTTTATTTTAAATGGCCTACCAATTACTATATAGGTGATCAATTTTTTTGATAACAATATTTAAAACACTTGTAAATGATATTTGTAGTTCCTTTTCATCATGAAAAATATAGTGATAGATCACACATACTTTTTCTTTGTCTTAGGGCCATGACTTTCTGGCTCATTAGGTAAGTATTTAGCAATACAAAAAGTTAAAGAATCTCTCAGTGCTTCATCATTCATAATTAGAAGAGATCTTAATGGTATATTAATTGATAATCTTACTGGACCTGCAAAAACTGCAAGTCATTGAATAAGCTGTCTGAAGCAAAAATACCAAAACTAGTTTACCAGTGACTCTATCATTATCATCTACAGGAAATTCTATTCCTAAAAAATATTTAAAAAATTTTAATATTAGACAGTCCATGACTTTCAAAGATAAACTTTACTATCAAATGATCATAATGAATATTTTACATATTTAAATCTTTATTAAAAGATTCTAGCAAGAATCTATAGTGTCCTAGCATTGGAGATGCATTTTTGTCCCCCTCATACTTTGAATAGATATTTGTTGGAACAGAATTATCTAAAATGATTAAGGTTAGATAATTAACATTTTTACCATTCAAACTCTGCAGGTATAATCACTTACCTAAGGACATTGAGTCACCAGTATGATTAAACAACAAACGTTTTCCTCATCCTGAGTAACAAATTTATTTATCAGTATTAAACCACATCTGAATTATTATTGTTTGTTTTTATCTGATTTATATCTGCAAATACAAAATAAAATGTATTCATCAAACTTGTTTGTAATTTGTAAGGTTCTTTGTATTCTCTTAAAATACCAGTCTGTGGAGCCTGAGTCAAAATACCATCTTCCTCAAATTTTAAGAAAAATATTTTTTCATGCCCATTCTCATAAAATCTAAGTTTTTAATGACTTTGACTTTAAAATTACACAGCTTCTTCCACAGAACCGAATTCAAATGATTTTCTTCCATTGGCATGCTATAATTATTCGATACAAGGAATCGACCGCGATACATACGAAAAAATCAAAAAATTTATCCAAGTTTCGGATTCCAGCCAATTTGAGATTGCTAAATTTCATGAGAATCTTTTGGCGTTACCTTGGTTGGCCAAATAAGTTGAACTTGCTCCCTGATAAAGGGGAGTTGTAAATCCATGGTGGTATATAACAATGAGACTTGCGTAATTGAAATGTATTGTATACATAAACGTGCGCCCTCGAATCTTTTAACAACTCATAAGAACGTTAGATATTGAGAATTCAAATAACTCAACTATGCATTCGAACACCTCTGTATGAGGTGGTGTTAAAGCATACGAGCATTTGACCTTTTGCTATGTTTAATTGCCATTGATTGTTCTAACGCCAAGTATCTGCGCATTCCAATGAAAACGGCTATTTGAAAAAAAGAATACATTCGCAATGGCTTACGAGTCATATCAATGCCAAAGAATCTTTTTCTCAAGGCACCATGAAAAAGAATTTTCGATTTTCGAATTTGAAAATTCATAAAATACAAAACGTTTTAACGTTTGTGCCTCGTTAAAAAATCGTTCGAAAATCATCGTACAGTAAGTTCATAGCGTTCCATCATAACAAAAACGCGAGAAGCGTCGCTCTTGGACGTCGCGAGACGCACGTGCTTTTGGCTTGCGCTCGCGGTCTCCGTCGTCGAGCCGCGTCTCAGCCGGTTCCGGCTGTCGGCCAATCGTTCCGGATCTCTGCCCCTCGGGCCCACTCGCGATTGGCTCGGCGGGGTTGCGCGCGCACTCGCCGGTAGGGGTGGCAAGTTCGCAATTCTCTCGCACAGCACCGGTCGCACGCCGCTGTGTTCTTCTCTCTCTCTCTCTCTCTGTCCGTCTCTCTTCGACTCGTTCGTTTTCCCGGCATCATCGCCGCAGCAGCAAGCAGCAGATCGTTGTCGTCGTTGGCCGCACTAGAGCAGCAGCAGCAGCGTGTGACTACTATATTCCTAAAGCGGCAGCAGCAGCAAGCAGCGCAGCAAACGCAAAAGCAAGCCAAGCCGCGCAAGGAATATCGTAAAGTAGCTTGCAGTGGCCACCGCGAGCGATTTGCGTTTTTCGCATTCAGTCTCTCTGAGAGCAGCAGTCGCGTGTGACATATAGTATAGTAGCCAGACCGACGACGAGTCGCCAAGAGTTCGAAGGTACCTTTTTTTTCTATCTCTCTCTCTCACCTGCCAACTCCGCACACACACACACACACACACTCACGTCGCGGCCGACCTCTTTTTTGCCCGATACATCCGACGAGAGCCGTCGCGTACTTTTACTCGCTTATCACCTAGTTATATATCGTTCGTCGTCACAGCTACCGGTGAGTGCTTTGTGTTTCTCTCAGTTTTTTTTTTTTGGAATTTCTCGTAAATATTATTTCGATTTATCTGTGAGACGACGACGACGAGTGTACTACGGCATGCACGCGGGACTCGACAAGATGCTCGGTGTGCTTGTGTGTGTGTCCCCGCGCGCGAATCGTCGTTGCAGTTGCCGGCGTCCGACACCATTGCGTTTTTCTCCTCGAGCTCGAAGCTTCTTTTGCGCCGTTGAGATGTGCGATACAGCCGGCGTTCCCGGAATCGCCTGCCTTATCAAGCGTTATCCTTCTGCATCGCGTCGCGTGGCACCTATTTGCGAAAAAGGCGGGAAGAAGGCCCGTCTCGCGACTTTTGCGACTACGTGATAATTTTCATTCGAGCCTATCTCGGCCGGAGCTCTGCTACCTCGTCTCGTTCGTTTTTTTGCTCCGTCTCGTCTCTTGCTCTCCCTCCTTGGTTCTCGTCGTTTCTTCTCTCTTTCTCTCCTTTTTGCCTCGACGATTAAATTGCTAATTTAACGATAAGAACAAACATGGTGCCCGCCGCGCGCGCTCACCTCGAACGACGCAATATTCTTTATAACAATATAAAACTGGCACTCCAGAACGAACGCACGCAAGGACGGACGGTTAGATTAGGCGGCCGTGCCGCGATGCTGAAAAAAGGGGAAGGGCTAGATAAATAGTTCGGGGAAAGCGCGCAAAGTCGTCGCAGTCGTCGCGCGCGCGTTTAATGTATGTTTTCGAAGATGTCCGATGCCGAGGTGTGTACACGAGAGTAGCAGCATTTTCGGCTTCATGACTTCGCGACCTGAAGCGCGTCACGACCATTGCCGGCATTTTACCACTGCGCCGACTTGTGCTCTCTGCACGAGCGAGACGTCCCCGTTTGACTGGGGGAAATTTGGCGTTCGTAGCTTCCATTGAACTTCGTATTATGTAGCTTCTACTGAACTTCGTGGTTCGTAGCTTCTAGTTCACTACAGCTTCTGAGCAAAATATTTAATAATTTTAAAATAATTTTGTTTCCTTTTTGTTACGCTGTCTTCTGAATGTCTCTAAAGAGTTGGCTAGTTTAGAAATGTAAATAACACAGTAAATATTGAAAATTCTTAATTTAACAATATCAACTTTGAACAATTTCAGAAATGGCTCCACGCAAAAATGCAAAGAGGACTGAAACTGACGCTGCTGATTCTCCAGCAGAAAATAATGATGTTTCTGCTCCCAAAAAGAGCAAGAAGCAAGCAGTAGAAGAAGCAGTCGTCAGAGAACCCAGGTTACCAAGGGCTGCTAAAAACAAAAAACCGGAACCGGAACCAGCACCGGTCAAAGCTGCACCCAAACCTCGCGCTGCCAAAAAAACCGATGCAGAGAAAAAGACTGCTGCCAAAAAGTCAAAGAAGGCTGAGGCTGAAGATGAAGAGCCAGAAAAGATGGAGGAGGATGAAGAAGTGGAAGAAGCTAAGCCAGCCAAAAAGTCCAAAGGAAAAGTAGCAAAGAAAGCTGATAAAGCTGACAAAGAAGAAGTGTCTGATGATGGTAATTTTCAAATAATTGATAATATGAAACAATACTGTTGAATTTAAATTCTTGATTACTTAATTAATGATTTTCACTTTTCTTTTGTAATAAATAAGTATTTTAATGTTGCAGCAAAATCTGAAGACAAAGAACCATCACCAGTTCCTACTAAAAAAGGCAAAGGCAAGGCAGCAAAATCTGAAGGTATATTTCATTAACTATAAAACTTTCCTTTAAAATAGTTTAAATTCAACATTTTCAAATCTCAAATCTTACAGCAGCACCCAAAAAAGGTAGAGGGAAGAAAGAAGTTAACGAAGCTCCAGCAAATGACTCAGATTCCAAAGAAGAGGCTAAGGAGGGAGCTGATGAAGAATCTGAATCGAACGGAGTAGAAGATAAGGAAGAAGCCGTTGAAAATGGCAAGGAAGAATCAGAGGCTAAACCAGCCAAAAAAAGCAAAGCAGCAGCGAAAGCCCCAGCCAAAAAAGGAAAGAAAGGCAAAGCTGCCTCTGCTGAAGCAAACGGCGACAAAGAAGAGGAGGCTGAGACGGCTAACAGCAGCCACTAGTTGTTTAAGAAATTTTAATTTCGAATTTTTTTAATTTTACTTTTTACAATATTGAAGCCACGTTGATTAATATCAATAAGATAATTTTTGTATTATTAATCATAGTAAAAATGTTTCATTTTTATTTAAACCGTTTGATTACTCATATTACATGAAGTGTAAATGATATACATTTGTCTACTATGTGTAATTATTATATAGCTGTAAAGAACTCACGTTTTGTACTTTTAAATACAACGTACTGTTTACTAAAATAAAAGTATTTATTTGATTTCGAATCTCGCTGTGCATTCATGAATGAGAGCCTGCAACAGATTTTCGTCGGTTTTCTATTTAATTATCTTAGGTCAAAACTTCTTAAGCGTAATTCAAAACGATACTTCTGAAAATTGAAGCAAATTGAGCATTGTATATTTAAATAATGTAAATATAATGCGAAAAAAGTTGTAATAGTAATAAAAAAAAAAACACTTATTTATCTAAACTCACGTGGATTTTATTGCAATGATTGAAACTCATGAAAAATACAGTAAAGCAACGAAGTAAGACGACTTGGTAATTTTTGTCAAGATTTAGTAAATAATATGTTGAAGGAATACTTGATACAAAAGTTAAAAAAAATTAAATTTCATAATTACATTCATGTATAATTTTACCTTTTCATCGGCTCGCTAAAAAAAGTACTGCACTCGCCTCGCGGCGCGAAGCGTCGGCACACGATCATCGTCAACGCGCCAAGTGCACATGATATAATTCATCGAAGATTTTTCTCAACGATTATACGGAGAGACGCACTCGGGCTCTCGCGATCACAATCTCATCCGCGGCTCATCGAGATCTCGCGCGGAGGTGGTTATTATCGATGCAGCCGATCTTCGCGCGGCTCGTTTATCGCACGCAACGATCGCACGAAAGTTATATTATACGCGAAAAAAGTTCCGATAATATAACAATGCGGTAATGTCTAAATTTACTCTCTCTCGTATTGGCTTTGCTTTTTATTGACAACGAAGAAAAAGAAGAGATGCGTCACACGAACTAACGCGGTATATCCCCCCGCGTAACATTACGCAGGTGTGCATGTATGTGTATATATTTGTACGCGCTGATAACGCGCGATGATGTCGACGACGTCGTTCTTATACAGCAGACACACGGCAGTCGAGTATAGCGATAAGCTTTCGTGCATTCGCGATATAAATGTGACTCTTCACCGACCGGTCGAAACAGAAGCGATCGAAAGTTGCCTCAGTACAGTTCGTATAACAGTATAAACCAAGTTTGAAATCAAGCCAGTCCACAGCATGTCGAAAGCAGCGTGTCTATTTCTCGGCCTGCTCGCCCTTGTGGCTTGTGCCAACTCTACCCCGTACTACGTCTCCAGCTACAGCTCCAACTACAACAACAACAACAACAACGGCTACTACGCCAAGGCCAACCAGTCGCACAATCTGATAATGGGCGTGCGCCAGCCGGGCGACCGTCTCATCTACCAGGAGAGCGTCGTCAAGCCGTCCAAGTTTCTGCAGGTGATCCAGGTGGAGAAGAGCTTCAACGTGAGCAACGGCTACTACTTGACGCAGATCCGCGCCATGGACCAGAAGACCAACGGCAACGGGGCGTTCGCGACCCGAGTGCGCGGCGGGCCCGGCTACAACAACGTCACCCTCAGCTTCAAGAGCCAGCGCGGCCACGGCATCAATTTCCTCGTCCAGCTCTACGCCAGGTCCAGATATTATCATTGAAGAACGGCGATACAATAATCGAGTCGATGTTGCGCGCGATACACAAAAGTATTTTGTTGTTACAGTTGAATAAATTAATAAAACGCGCGTTGTTTGCGCAAGCTGATATATTAACGCGCAGCAGTCGCGAGGCCGTGTGTGTGTGTATGAATGTACGTTGTAAGCTCCGTAATTGTGCGCGATTTGTAAAATATAAAACGTCGATTGTTATTGTGATACAAATATTATTATACATATAATTATTTATATACGTATTGTAGATATTCTCGATCGAATAAAAGGTATACTCGTTTACAATGATATATATTTTCCAAACATGCGGCATTTCATCTTTGTGTTTTTTTCTTCTCTTCTCCTTTTGTTTTTTTTCTCGCTGTCGTCCTTGTGTATTACTCTCGAGTATGCGCACGCGGCCACGAGGCCCGAATGACTCACATTTTAAGCCTGGCACTATACACGTAATAAGGCCGATAAATTCGTACGTGCGTGTGTGTGTATACGACGCCGTCGTGCTTTGAATTTGTGTCATATGGTGATCAACGCAACTACTGCTGCTGTTGCTCTCTCGATATTGGTAAACATTGAACTCGATGCGTACGAGTCTATAACTATATAGTCGTCGTTTTGCGCAAAGTAAAATAGGCGATAATTTCGACTCAAGGAAAAATGCCTCTGTGTATGGACGTATCTACACATTTGGAACACAGGCAAGAATGAATGCGAATAAATCGTATCATAAAGTGCTCCCATGTAGCCGTAGCAGCCGGCTGGAGTCGCTTTATATTATGAGCTTGTTTAAATCGATTTCATTATAGAGTGTCGCCTATCCCCCCCCCCCCCCCCCCCNCCCCCCCCCCCCCGAGACTCTATTCGCTCTTTTTAATACGATATAACACATCTGCGCCTCAGTGCTACATGTTAATACACAATGTAAGTATATCGAGAAGCTTATATTCATCGCATATGTAAAATCAGCAGGCCAAAATGTGTCGATGACATAAGCGCGTCTCTCGCAGCAGCCAAGACGATCTCGCATCTCCGATCGGTCGCTCGCTCGCTCGCTCAGTAGTCGCGCGTCAGTCAAGCTCGGCACACACACACAGCAAAATATTCTCTCAGTTCACGCAATCATGTCGCTGAAACTAGTCCTCCTGTGTCTCGCTGCCCTGGCCGCCCTGGCCCAATCGCAGTCGCACGACCTGGTGATCGGCGAGCGCCAGTACAACGACATCCTCGTCTACTCGGAGAACATCGCCCTGCAGGCCAGCGTCGTGGGCCAGAAGATCGTGCACGAGCAGACCTTCAACGCCATCAACAATCACGTCATCACCCAGGTGGTGGCCAAGGACTCGGCCGACGATGGAACCGGCGCCACCGTGACCGTGACGGGGGGCGGACCCGGCCAAGACCACATCACCTTGAGATTCAAGAGCCAGAGGTTCCGCGGCGTCTACTTCACCGTCCAGGTCTTCGCCAAGCCCAAGGTTTAAAGCCTTGATAATAAATTATTATATCACGAAACCAGCCCAGAACTTGTGTAACTACTCGACGTCGTCGTTGTTGGAGCTGTGTTTTCTTCCACGCGTGTGACTTTATATACATACTTGTTATGATGAGATATTGTAACGACCGGCAAAGACCTCGGTTCCTTTTTTATTTTATTTTTTAAATTTATATACATTTATTATCCATGCACAATCGAACGCCGATCGAGTTTCGTCGTTTTTCAACTCTGTACGATATACTTTATACACATGTATTGTATTTACAAGCAGAATATTTACAAATAAATTATTTTTTAGCAAAAAAAGAAAAGTGCAGTTTCGTTTTTTTTTATAACTCCGTTGTAATTAACGAGTGCCCGTTAAAACACTGGTGGCAAAGCAACGATATTACATATCCCGCGGGGAAAACCAGCACGCGCGATTCCGTCGAATTTTTTTTTTTTTACATTTTACCAATATCGCGCGAACGCGCATTACAATATCCTCTCTCCGAAAAAGAAGAAGAAAAAAAAGCACAGAGCCATGTAAGTAGAGCAACAGATATGAAATACGATTCATCGCGTCAATTACGCAATTTATGTTATGAATCTCTCTCTCTCTCTCGTATTCTTCGCGATGATCATCGCGTACATAATTCGATCGGTATATAGGAATGATGCGACGATAATCCGCTCGCGAAACGTGAGAAAATACGAGAAAAACAGACTGCGCAGATAATAAACCAGTTTGCGAAAAAAGTTCGCCGCGGCTGCTTCTCGTCGTTGTGCGACTATTATTCGACCGCTGATCGTTCCTCTCGAGTCTCGTCTCGTTCTATTTCCTTCTAAACGATAAAGTCAAAAAAAAACTACTGTTTATCTCCTTTCCGAATAAACCCAAAATATAATATCAAGATTTGAGAATCGATGCGTAATTCCCGCCGTCGAATAGTGTTGGCAGCTGCGATAAATTTCCAACTTTTGATGTGTCCCCTCTGGAAATCCATTATTCGTCACGATCGTTAATTCAAGTCGAACAATTTTGATCTGCTTTGATCATTGTTTTTATGAGAAAATACAATTTCGTCATCAAATTTTCAAGTGCTTGCCCTTAACTCTCCCCAACTCTCGATCTCTTGCCTAAAATATTCTTCTCGTAGCTACAACAGCTGCCGATCGAGTAAATATACATCGCGCAGAAAACAAGGAGTCGGAGGCAAACGTTCTGTTTCTCGAGAACTCGATGCTCTCTCGACTGCTCTGGCGTTATATACTCGAGTCGAAAAATTAAGCATCGCCAATTGACCTCTATTGATAACAGTCGGTTCTTGCACAGATTTTAATTAAGTCGTTGCTCGAGGCTGTATACTCTAAAGACGTATATCGATTGTATGTAAAACTATTTTTTTCTTGATGTATTTAAATTATGAATAGTGGACGTAGGAAATGAACGTAAACTGAGAAAAAATAGCATTTTTTTATTTCATTCGATTATGTTTGTTTCGAGAAATCTCGAGATGCATCGAGCTACCAAATTATGCTAAAATATTGAATTTTCGTAAAAACCAATTTTTTCACAATTGAGTAACCGGCACTACAAACTAAACACATCTCGATCAAAATTGAATAAATGCGCATATATTTATCAGTCGAGAACAGATTCGATGTACATCGATTTTACGAAGGAAAAAAAGGCCAAGCAAGCTCCGGCGTTTATTCTCTCTAAATTGTGCTCAAAATATATTTACCTAAAGCGTTTTAATATAAAAAAGTGTAATTTAACGACTTCGACCGTTTATTATACGCGAACAGTTCGCATTATTGTACTATACCCGGGCGAGGCTGGAAAAAAAAGGCACGCGCAGGCGGTATTTCTTTTCAATTATGCGCTCGTGCGTGTGCGAACATCGTGTGTACACACACCACCGGGAATTCGCTCTAGTTTCGCTCTCTTGTTTACAGGAAAATAAGGAAATGCAAAGATGTCTCGCGAGGAGAAAAAAGAAAAGAAAAGGAAACGTCGAGTCTCGAAATGAGCAGCTCGGGTGAGCTTCGGCAAGGGGGGTCGTCGTATTAAAATCCGCCGGTGTATTCCCATCTCGAAAAAAAAAAATGTTTACTCGATGTAAACGAACAATGTCATGGCGAGTGTAGTTTCGACGTTATAACGGATGCAGTTATGAGAAAGATGTTTGCATTGGAATATCGAAGGTGTACTTGACGTCGGAGGTCTTGGATGGTTATGCTCATCGATAATGTTGGTTTTAATGAAATTGAGTTAAAATTAATTAATTTTTAGCATTGATATAAAATAATTTTCTTCGCTTTTCTCATTCCCTGCACATATAGTAGTGAATCAGCTGACGAAAACGTGCTATTGAATTATTATCTCGATAGTCTTTCAGCCACACGAGCGAAATGCAAAAATGACATCACCGCTTTAAACAGACTATACGGTAATAACGCTACGCACGTATGATCGAGTTTAGCTACGAATCAGCGCCTCCCAGTATTACGCGCACCTGAAGTCATTCTCGAAGATAAGATAGTACGATCGCGACAAACAAGCCAATCGATTCTTATAAATTGCCCCGACGGTCGCATAAAATTCGTCACTTTCTCGCAAAGTGTTTACCTCGTAATATTATACTAATTATCCGTGCGAGTATACAAACATGAACGGCAACTACTGTCGGTCGATCCTCGCGCTCGTCTGCGGCCTGCTGGTGGCCGTTCTCGTCGTGGTGCAGCAGGTCGACGCCACCAGTCTGACCCTGGGCACGAGGCGCCAAGGCGACGGCCTCGTGTGCGCCGGCGACGTCAACATACGCGCCCGACCCGGCCAGATAGTCAGCGCCACGAAGCTCTGCAACGTGCCCAGGCGCAACCAGACCATCACCCAGGTGCGAGCCCTCGATCTCGGGGTCCGCGGCAGGGGCGGCTACGCGTCCGTCGTCAAGGGCGGCCTCGGCCGCGGGAACGTCACCCTCTACCTGTGGAGCCAGAAGAGTCAGCCGCTCAACTTCACACTGCAGGTCTACGCCTGGCCGTACTACTAAGATCGATCGACGGTGCAAAGTGACGATCGTGTGTGTAGTGCGATATCCAGCGGTTATTGGATAGTTCGATTGTCTCGTATGATACGTTTAGAGAATGATCAAAATTAACGAATAAAAAGTTATATATTTTTGTTAAACATACGTTTTGAACATTTTTTTTATTTACCATTTTCCTCGATCAACAAATTGAACATTATACGACAAGTTATTATCTCAAAACCCTGAAAAGAGCAGTAATTGTACGATTACTTTGTTAACCAGACATAATTAAATAAAGTAGCCCAAGTAAATCTATGCAATTATTTATCCAGATCTAATAATTTACGAATTATACTGAAACAAGGTGATAACAAAATCATTTAATATTTTATTACATAAAATTACATAAAATTTTTCAGCCGTAATACACAAAACTAAAGTTTAAATAATTATTAAACTAGAGAGCATCGTTCTTTAATTGTGCTGACAACCTGAACGATTGTCTCGAAATAAACGTTTTCAGATACGTTTATATGGATTAAAATCTTTTTTCTTGCAAACGAAAAGTTAGATAAATGAAACCTGCAAAGCCCATTATCATCATGTAATTTAAATAATTAATAATGCTTGATTGATTAAACCGACTGATTTAAAAGCTCATTACATTTTATAACAAGTTTTTTAATTGTGTGGATTATTTTGTTCATAAATATGTCACAAAGTAAATGACTGTATTCCGATGATTTTTTAACATGTTATCAAGAAGCGCATGTTGCGCTCCACATGGCATATATAGTTTATGTATTGAGCAAAATATAGTTTTCAAAAATTGGATTCTTATTTAATTAATCAAAAACCGTGTAAATTACCCTTTAAAAAATTTCAAAAAAGAAGAGCAATCTTTAATAGAACAACTGTGTACTCTGGCTCAAAATCTCACCTCCATGATGATAAAAATGAAGTCTCGAAAATTATAATAAAAATATGAATTTTTATTTATGAAAATTCTTAATAATTTCACCTTAATTATGAACGCAAACGAACAAAAGGGTGTGCTGTTTTATAATGGAATACCGAGCGTGGAAAAAAAGTTTGCAACGGCAAAAGAACACAAACAGCATTTTCTAATTCAAGTGCATTCGTGCCTGATGTATGCGCGCACAGTACAGGTCGAAAAGGGCATCGTGTACACAAGTATTCGGATTCCGCGAAAATGACTCGAGTGACGTATCCTCGTATACGCTATATATTATACGGAACACACACATGCACACACACCTTTCCGCGTTTCGCGCACATACCGAGAAAAAGACAATCAAACGGACGTATACTACACAGGCGGGTGAACGATAGGACGAGGCTCGCTCGTAGTAGCAGCGGTAGTGCAACGTCGTCGAAAACAGCTCGCATTATTATAGAATCGAGCCGCGCGGCGTATTATATGTATGCGGCATAGGTATATGCGCGATCGCATGCACAGATCCAGCCCATTCCAAGTCTGCTTGTCATCTCTCTATCTCTATCCCTGCCTGCAAAATTATACATGACCAGCTGCATAATTAAGCTTTGACTAGTAGAGTATACGCGTGTGTGTGTATCTATATCATGCTCGCGCACACACACATACACACTCCACCAAATGTGCGCATTTATAATGTATAATGATTCTCTGTCTGGATTTGCTCTTATCCCGCATAATGTACGTTGAGACATGGCTGGATTGACATCTTTGTTATATACTGAAGCTCGACTGAATATTGTCTAAAAAATATGATTATGCATTGAATGATGAAAATTACCTTATTTGGCTACATTTCCAGATTAAATGGTTGAACGTTACAAGTCCATGATTTTCGTTCTTTCGATTATCGAGAAATGGAGACCACAAAAAATCATATTTTAATGGCAAAACGCCGCGAATAATTAACTCTAATTAGTAGACTGGACAAAGAAAATTATTGATGCGTCGACAATATGCATACGATAGACCGTACATATTTTACAAATTCATCATTTCAAGTAAAATTAATGCATATCCATGCATGCGAAATTTAAATAATCAACGTTCTATACAGACTCCTAGCGAGAGGTCGATGCCAGCCGTGTTAGTTGCCGTTGCTGACGCCGAGATGACGCTAGCCGGCAGTATAGTCGCGACGCTCGAACATCGAACGCTGCGTAGGCCGCGCGCCCAACCGCCCGGCGCGGAGCTGCAATTCGTAAATAAAGAAATTACAGATTGTGTCGATTGTCGAATTATTTCGATAAAGTTAGAGTAAACGTAGCTAATAACCGCTATAGTTCTCTATTCGGTGCGGTAAATTTTCAAGTGTGCAACGGAAAAATTCATCGAACTCAGGCCGCCATTATTAATTTTTTCAACTATTTTTTATAAATTTATATTTAGTGTATAGAGTATGTGTTTTGTGTTTTTTGCGTGTTTAGTTTGTGTGTAGTGCGTGTATTCATGTGTAGTGTATCAGTGTTCCGTTTCTTTTTGCTTTTTTTTCTATTCGTAAAAGCCCAACTAGTGATTTATAAATGTACAAGCGCGGGCTCGTGAATGTTTAAAAAAATACGTTGGATAAAAAGAACGTCCCGCGCGCGCGCGCTCGCTCGCTTCTATACATCCATGCTCCAATTTGCATGAAAAATCGTCGCAGGAGCTGCGGATCGTCGCGGTTGAATTAGCGCGAAGGCATTCATTATGAATGCGGAAACGATCGGTGTAATGTGTAATTGAGCGAATCGCTGGAAAGAAATGTCGTGCAGCGGCGGTGGTGGTGGTGGTGTGTCGCCGCAAGTCGAGCAGAGCAGCAGCCAACGGCATCAATAAGGTAAGATTGCATGAATATATGCACATACTGATATACATAGATTATGCTACACACATACACACATACATCGGAGGGACGAAAAACCCCTAAGCAGGGATATGGCAGCAAATAGATGTCGTGTGCTCGATGCTTTGTACTCGCCCATCCATCTCCGGGCGCATACTCGTATGTGTCTGTGTATCCAAGTCGGTTGGTCGTCATCGAATATTTACGGCTACGTAGAGAGAGAGAAAAAGAAAGAAAGAAAGAGATATAGACTCCGGCACGTATAGGTGAGCACACACGATCGATGATGATATCGTATACATACGCACATACACACATCGTCGACTCTCGCGAATTGCACTACGTACTTAGGCCGTGCAGTACGCAGGCAGCAGCGAGTCGAGCTCTCGTCGAGTTGCACCGCACTCTCATGCTCATGCACACATATTGGCCGACGACGTTGAAGCCTTTTTTGCCGGACAAGCCTCGCGACGGATTTTGCTTGACGGTATCGCATGACTCTCGTTTTCTCTCTGTCTCTGTCTGTCTCTCTCGCTCGCGGTGGATAGCAGTGAATCGCGCCATTTTTCAAGGGTCGCAGCAGCAGCAGCAGCAGAAGAGACGTTCGTCCGAGTCTCGCGCGTTTTTGTGTAGACAAATGCCTGTTTACTCGCGACGAGTCCGGCTTTTACTGTATATAACGATATATATATCGAGGAAAAATTCGACGTGGGACGAGATATTTTATAGGGTGTGTATAAAAAAACCGACTGGTCAGAGTCGTTTCACGACGAAACGAGTCGACGTCGCTCCATACATATATAGCGATCGATGAATTCTCTCGCTCACTCTTTGCTCTCTCGTGTGCGATATCGAACGAGTCTCTCCCTCGAGAAGAGGCGGCGGCAAGTTTTCCTCCAATTTCATGCATGCAACATACCGCCGCGTGAGCTCTCTGCTTCGAGTGTAAGTATATAAAGTTGAAGCTTTTTATACCCAACGCCTCGCGAAGCTGTCACGAAGCTCGCCGAGTCAATAAGTACGAAAGAGGCCTATATGTATAATAAACTTTCTCGCCGTGCGCGCGTGATAAGCGATCGAGGCACACACACACACGAATTGAAAAAAAAGAAGAAGAAGAAGAAGAAGAACGAGTTACGATTTTGTGTGCGAGCCGTGGCGCCTTAATTACACGTATCCCGCGAGTCAGTGGGGAGGCGCATCCCCTAATGAGGGTGCTCGTATTATATAAAAGTCGAGCTGGCAACACGCGGGGCACGGCCAAACTCGTCGTGCATACGTGTGCACGTATTACACTATACCCGTATACATCTAGAGCACATATGAAAAATTCTTGGCGCGGAGCAGCAGCAGCGCACCCCTCCGAATATAAGTCTCTCTCTCTCTCTCTCTCTCTGCCGGCACACACGGCACACACGGAGAGAGGTAGTATCCACGCAACGCTATATAGTATATATGATGCCTACCAGTGGGGGCCACACCGCTGCACCTATGCTCGAGAGCTTTCATTTTTCCTCCCTCTACCTCCCCAGTCGTCGACGCCGCCGCCGTCGTCGTTGCTACGTTATACTCGGGGCTCGCAGCTCGGCTCCGCGTATATAGCTTTCGACGAATTTTCTTCTCTCTTTATTTTATATTATATTATATTATAGTCCGGGGCGCCCTGGCTATATTATACGCGCTTTATGCGAAAAAAGCGACTCCACAGAGAGCGTGTGGACGTAGACGACGACGACGACGACGACGGTGTGTTGCGTAAGCAGCAGATGCGAAAGATCACCGTCTCGGCCACGCCGGCCTTGTTTCCCGAAAATTACCGCGCCGACGACGGCGACTCTTCGTTTTAGCAGTATAGTAGTAGTAGTAGTAGATGTCCGTCGCGTCGGCGACTTTCTGCTCACGCTATTATGCTTTTCCATCCTCGCAGCACGACGCGCGTCTTGTGTGCCGTTTTCCAGGCTCTTCGTTCTTTTTTTTTTTTTGCTGCTCTGTCTTGTCTATATATTTTTCATCGCGATATTTCACCCCCCAATCCCTCCTTCTGCACGTGTATACACACACATGCGCACACATTGCCGACCGAACTTTGACTGTTATAGGTATGAAATGCTCCGCTGCTGCTGCACAAGTTCTGTTTTATATCAGCGACGATTGTTATGGTTAAGCTTTTTTCGCTCTTTCCATTAAAAGCATTAGCGCGCGCTCGGGCTCGCGCGCAAACAAACTGCACCCTCCTCCGGCACACATGTGCTTATATAATACGAAACGTATTTTCGTGTATATATGAAATTCGCGTATATTTTTATAAATTTCATTTTCGACGTATTATACGCGCGGTGCACACACCTATATCGCGTGTATTATTTTCACATGCGATATACTGCACAATTACAGGGAAAAACACGCGCTCGAGCTCGTTCCGCATTTTCGCTCAGTTTTCATCGAATTTTCACTCTGTTCTCGTTTTTTTTCGCAACGTT